ACTGAAGCAATCGGTGCAAGTGCTTCCTAAGTGAGAAGGGAACAACATCACTTCTGTGATTCCCTGCTGGACCTGCGCAACCTCAATCTAATCATCAGGAAATAACAGACAAACCCCAATTATTCTGTAAAATAACTGGCTGATCACTTCCAAAAATGTCTAGGTCCAAAATCAAATCAATCCCAAGGAAATGTTCCAATTTAAAGACTAAGGAGACTTGACAACTAAATGCAAATTGTGATCCCAGAAAAAAATCTATACAAGGCATGACAGGAGCAGCTGATGAAATGTGCCTATGGGCTGCGGGTTAGATAATAGTGTTATATAAATGTGAAATTTTTTATCTTGGTTAATTGTATTGTGGTTGTACAAGAAAAGGTCCTTGTTTTTAGAAAGTAAGTTCTGAGGAATGTAAGGGCACAGGGTGTGAAGGGGAGCAGCAGGCACCACCCCAACATGTGCCCCTTAGATATGTGGAATATATTGAGCTGAAGGGAAATAAGACCCAGCAGTCTCAAGAAAAACATTTACTGCTCGCATAACTGCCTGAATAATCCAGTTAGGAGGCCTGTGCCAGAAAGCACTGTTGCCAGAGAGAACTTTTTTATCTGAAAGACTCACCTGCCTGGCAGGGCACACATCTGATTACCAAGCATCTTCTCTTCTCCTCTTCCTGTGAATTGCTGTTCTCCCTTTTAAAGCCCCTGACTTCTGTCCCGTCCCTTAGTTCAGGGTGGTATATAAGCCTCAATTGCCTAACTGCCTTTGGATCTCATATTTTTATGGGGCTTCTGTACAAACAAAATTAAATTTGTTTTCTTCTGTTAATTTGTCTTATATTGACTTTATTATTAGACCAGCCAAAAAACCCAAAAGGGAAGAAGAAAAGAATTCCTACCCTTACAACTAGACTCTTTTACATAAGGCAAATGCTTAATCCACAACCCATCAAATACAGTTGACCTTTGAACAACAGAAATTTAAACTGCATAGGTCCACTTATAAGCAGATTTTTTTTTTCAATAAATATACTGGAAATTTTTTTGGAGATTTTCTTTGTACCATGAAGCAATGATATTGCTACTTCTTCATTATCAATGCATGAATTCAATGAATTCACTGTTCGATTCAAATTAAGTTTTGTTCAAATAACCTCTAAATTTTTTTAATTTGCCTCAGTTTATCTTTTAACAAGGGGCAGGATGTCTGCAACTTACTCTCAGGTGGTTTAGCAAAAAAGAGTGAATGATAGAGCATGTGGGGCAAGTATAAGCAACCAGTGAATGTGGGCAGGGTATGCGAGTTCCTTGGAGATGTATATATTCCTTGTACAGAAATTTGCAATGTTTTTGTAAGTTTAAATTTTTACTTAAATAGAAAATTATTTAAAAATATGACACAGCTGAGGCAGTTTTGCTCACTTCTGTAAGGGTATTAAAGGTAAAAGAACTGACAAGTTAAAATCATTCTATCAAACTTTGGGGTCTCTATCAAACTTTTTTTTTGGATTACCAGGACTCTGGCAGTAAAATACTCCCATTAAATTGACATAGGTCTGAAGAAGTTCAACAAGATCCAAACAGGAGCCATTTCTAAACCTTGAGGCTAGTGGCAAAAGATAAGATTCTCCCCAGACAAAGCCCTCTAATGAATACTTCAACTCAAGCTCTGAAAGTAGCTTTAGAAAACTAGTCTAGAGTGTCTAAAAGTTATTCTAGAAAACTTGCAAGATCTTTTCTTAAACAGTTGTTTAGTTTTATAAAAATTAACTCATTTTGGCCCTGGCCGGTTTGGCTCAGCGGTTAGAACGTCGGCCTGCGGTCTGGAGAGACCCGGGTTCGGTTCCCGCTAAGGGCACGTACTTCGGTTGCAGTTTGTCCCCGGCCCTGGTTGGTCGTGCGGGTGGCAGCCACTCGATGTGTTCCTTTCACATCGATGTTTCTCTCTCTCTCTGTTCCTCTCTCTCCCTCCCACTCTACCTGAACAAAAAATGGAAAAATGTCCTCGGGTGAGGATAAAAAAAAAAAGAAAAAAAAAATTAACTCATTTTGTTGGACACCCTCTGAGTTGTTGGTCTTCAAATATCTGAGTAGAGTGTAAAGACAGCCAGAAAGCTCCGAGCACCTGCTGAGTGTGAGTGGCAATAGGAAACTGAGGAACAGAGAGGCTATTACCTTAGCCAATGTCAAGCACTAAGGAAGTGATAAAACTAGAAATTGGACTGAGGTGTCTTCCTCAAGAGCCCATGTTCTATTCACTAATCCATATGCTTCTGAGAGTGTACTTCATAGATCCATTCCATGACATTTTATAGAGTATTTCAATTTCATTGTCAACACAGCCCTACAAGATTGGTGTTATCATCTTCATTTTTACATACAAATGAGATGGAGAACTAACATAACTTGTTCAAATTCACAAAAGCTAAAAGAAAGTCTTGGAGGCAAAATGTCTGTGTGACTTTAAAGCCCATACCCCCTTTACCCATCAAAACGGCACAAATAGATTGCATTTTGAAGAACTGGGTATAATCAAGAAAATAATGACTGAATAAACCCCAAACTCTAAATTATCTAATATTGAATTATCTCATGATAACTTTAATAAAATAGCCCTCAAGGCAAAAGATGAGTTTCTAATGGTTTTAAACATTGTCAGAAAACACTTTTTTTTTTTTAATTTAAAAGTGTATGCACATTCACACACTAGATCTCTAGCTTTATCTTACCCCAGTTTATTGTTGGTATTCTCTCTCTTTCCTCCCTCCCTCTCTCTGCCTCACCTCTGTCTCTCTTACCCTCCTCCTTTCCCTTTCTTCCCTCTCCCTGGTATAAAAAGGTTATAAAGTTTTCTGATGCCCCCTAGTGGTCTTATCCTGGAAATGGCAGTCATGTTAGGAAACTTAAAATCTTTATGGACAATAATAAAATGACACTTTTAATCCTTTAGAGTTTTTGGAGACAGTGGGCCACTGAGGTAAAAGGACAGGGCCTGTGATCATGGACAAGTTATTTAGCCTCACAGGGCCTCAGCAAATGCAGCCTTGAAGTAAAGGTTAAAATATTTCCTTTTCACAGTTGCCTATGGTTTAAGATAACAAAGTAAAGGGTCTTGAGGCACAGTACACTCTCAATAAAAGATAATTATTATTTACTTTTGACAGTTCTGTAAAGTTGAGTAAATTGAGGCTCACACAGCTTACTCATTTTTTAACTTAACTCAGCAAGTTATCAAAATAACAGTTGATAAGGAAAAATGTTAAGAATTTTTTAAATCTTAAAGGGATATTTTCATACACTCTTGTGTTTTCATTAAGTCCAAAAAAATATACATTTCATGGGTCAGTGGTCCATCTCCAGAATATGTCTTAAAATTGCAAGAAGCACATGTCCAAAACATGTTCACAAATCATTACTTATCATAGTACTAAGTTGAAATAAACTTTGGTTAAAAAGTATAATTGTTTGTATTTATAGATACTAGATGCTGTTTTAAGGGTTATGAATATATCAAAGCATTCAGTGAGGGAGGTACTATTACTGTCTCCACTTAACATATGAGGAATCTGACGAACAGAGAGTTCAAGGACCTTGCCCAGGGTCAAACATTAAGGAGTAGTAGAGCCAAGAATCGAACTGAGGTCCTTCTCAAGAGTCCATGTTCTATTCACTAATCAATCTGCTTCTGAGACAGCATTGTCCACCTATGATGGAATATTGTGCAATCATAAAAATTGTGTTTTCAGTAAGTATAAAATTATATGGAAATGTACTCACATTAAAATATTAAGGAAATAAAAAATATATTAAGAGAAAAAAACAGTATGCAAAATTGCATACTATATTATTTTGGTGTTAGACTGTGTATGTGTGTGTATATAAAACCAAAATCTAAATCTAAATGGTACCTTTCTCCAAGCTATGGGTTATGATAATTTTTTTCTAGATATTCTGAACTTTTGTAATGAAACAGAACTGCTGTGATCATCAGAAAATTTAGATTAAAAAAGATTTTGGGGTGGCCCTGCCAGGTAGCTCAGTTGGTTAGAGAGTCCCAATACACCAAGGTTGTGGGTTTGATCCTTGGTCAGGGCACATACAAGAATCAACCAATAAATGCATCAATTAAGTGGATGATTCTCTCTCTCAAATCAATAAATGTAAACAATATTTTAAGGTGCTTTTTAAAATATAAGAATTTCACTCTGCTGGTGTGGCTCAGTGGTTGAGCATCGATCCATGCACCAAGAGGTCACTGGTTTGATTCTCAGTCAGGGCACATGCCCAGGTTGTGGGCCAAATCCCCAGCCGGGAGCATGCTGGAGGCAACCAATCGATGTTCTCTCTCATCGATGTTTCTATCTCTCTCTCCCTCTCCATTTCTCTCTCTCTAAAAAAATCAATAAAGAAAAAAAATTTTTTAAATACCAGAATTTTCAAAAACAGGGTTCAGTTTCCCTTTGCAATAAAATAATGAATCGGGAAGTGAAATCATGGAAAAGATTTGCAAGAAAACCAGGGACTGAGAACAGAGGAAGGGTGTTCAGACCAGAAAGGGAAGTGCCTGTGAGAGAGTGTTTATTAGGACACCAGTGCTGGGTTAACCGAGCACGGGAGCCTGCTTTTGACTGATGTCGGCTGTTCAGAGACTGCTGATAGCAGTCATTAGGATTCAGTACAGGCTGAAGTAGAATGGATGGGGGATGTGATGCCTTCCTTAATAGGAAGACCTATGACTCCACAGGTTCAGAGAGTTTCAAAGGTACTGTGGAAAAGCAGCAAAGACAGCCTTCTTTTGGACAGTAATAACCCTAAAAGGTTGGCTGCTTTATGACAGCCCCCTCGGGGCAGGGCCTATCAGCAGCACCAGAAGGGCTGGACACAGACCTATCTTGAGGTGGCGACTTCCCAGCAACCTACATGAACCAATTATGTTACTCACAGTGAAAACCTGCCAATCAAGATAATACCACTTGGCCCCAAACCCTGTGCGCTGTGTGCCTTCTCCTGCCTCCCTGAGAAAGCTGAGGCTGAGCTGCTGAACCTGATCCTGAACATTCTTTTGGAATTCCTCACCATACAGATTAGATAAGGGTTTATGTTTTTTTCATCAGAAACTAACTTCAATTTATGAAGAATTCCTTGTTCAGTGCACAAGTCCAGCTTTTTCCAAGATTTCAGCTTTGCAATTAAGTTGGAGTTGACCTTTGCCCTCGGAAAAACGGCTGGTCAACAGAAGCCTCAAGGTAGACGTTAGCAAGAAAGGTTCTTGCTGGGATTCACCCCTAGAAAAGCCCAAAGGAGAACGATGGCAATTCATTTCAGGATGAAGCTGCAAGAACGAAGGAATACATTTAACACCAACAAATGCTGTCCACTGACCAACAGACACAGGAAGAGTCTTCTCCCAAGTGCAGCTCCTGCGACGGGAGTCTGGCTCCTTGGGGCGCAGCTCCCACTCCTGCTGCTGTTCGCTGGCCTGCAGAGACCCACGGTGAGTTTCCAGGTCAGGCGCGACTGAGGAGGTGATCTCTGTATGATTAAAGCTCCAATGGAGCCTTCTCCTGGTGATCTTTCAATGACCTTTAGGCACTTGGGGTCTAATTTCATTCAGACATCTTAAGTTACACTAGCAAAAAGTTGGATAACAATTATTTTAAATTGTGGAATTTGTTACAATGTATAAATTTGATATTATGGAAGCTGCAGGCATGGCATTATTTTCTGGGTTCTCCGAGGACAAATTATGCAAAATTAACCAAGTCTATTTGGCTTTTGACTGTATCATATGAATCAACTCAAGAGAAGTATTATAATGTAAAGTTCCACATAAGGGAAATTAACCTAATGTTAAAAGATAACAGACTATATATTTGACATCTAGTAATATAATAAAGTTTTAAAGTTTATCATAACAAGATTTGACAAAATGTGATATTACTGATTTTGTTTTGTTTTGGCTTAAATAGATTCTCTAGATTTACTTGTAAACTTGCTGTAAAGAGTTATTGGTTAAACAGAACTTGTATGCATGTATGCATAGCCGATGGACCTGGACAACAAAGCTGGGGACAGGGTGGGGAGGGGATGGAGAGGAGGGTATCAATGGGGAAAAAAAAGGAGGAACATCTATAACAAAAATAAATTAATAAAAAATAATAATAATAAAGAGTTATTGGTTAAAATACTTTAAGCAGTCTTAAAATGTTGTTCTAATTTACACACAACTAGATGTTTAACATAAACAACAGTAAAAATGCCAAATGGTATGTTTTTTGAGTTTCAGCTGCAACATCTTTGACACTGACTGGATGGAACTGTATCTCTTAACATATTCCTTAATGTGTACAGTTTATCAGAAAAGCATCATTTCTTTGTCAAGCAGGAAACTTCTTGGGGTTTAGATCATTGAAATATGGCTCTGCAACTGATGGTAGTTAGTGAACTGTATTCACACTCTAACTTCAGTTTAACGTGCACTAGGTATCAATAAGTAATATTCAATTGGTCACCCATTAGCAAATGTGTTTTTCACACTGGCCGGTGTGTCTTGGTTGAACATCATCCCATGTACCTAGAGGGCCACCCATTCAATTCCTGGTTAGGGTGTATGCCCTTATTTCAGACTTGATTCCCTCTCCCTTTCTCTCTCTCTCTCTAAAATCTAAAACATATTTTTAAAAAGAAAGAAAGAGTGCTGGCCGTATTTTTCTCAGTGGTTAGAGCATTGGCCTGTGGACCAAAGAGTCTCGGTTCGATTCCAGTCAAGGGCATGTACTTTGGCTTTGGTTTGGTCCTGGCCCTGGTCAGGGTCGTGCAGGAGGCAACCAATCAATGTGCCTCTCTCACATGAATCTCTCTCTCTCTCTCTCTCTCTCTCTCTCTCTCTCTCTCTCCACCCCTCCCAAACACTCTATCTGAAAATACGTGGCAAAATATCCTCTGGTGAGGATTTTTTTTTTAATAAAATAAGAAAGAAAGAAAATGTGTTTTTCTCACTCCTGATTTCCAAGAGGAGTGACTTTCCTAGACACACACCCAACCACTGCCCAACCTTCTATTCACACCGCCACCCTGGAGGTAGGAAAATTTACCTGACAGGCAACATCAGGAAGAATACCTGGGTATGCTGAGTTTGACCCTGCTTTTCTCCCTCCTGGGAGCTAGCCTGACCGCAAAGGCCAGGAATTCTGTCTTCCTCCATGACAAGAATCTTACCTGGGTAGGCTGCAATTAGTACTACCTGTAGCTGAGGGAGCAAATCGGCCTCATCCCGGAGTTTATTCCTAACAAACCCGCTCGCTATCAGACCAAAAGATGTATGCCCCAATATGACATTATTCATTAATAAAAATGATAGTTTAACCTTCATATTTGCTTTTCTTTTTTCAGTGTTGTTCAGAGTCTGAATAGAGGAGAAGGCTGTTATTGCTGGGAACCCCCAAAAGGACACAACATTATTTACCACTTGTCTTTTCTTAAATGAAGTTCAAAGGTGTTATATAGCTTTCAGGTATTTATAAAAGAGAGAGTCCTTAAAACACCCACGAGGGAATGTGAAAGGGGGTCAGTAGAGGAAATAGAAAGTAGAACTAAACTTTACGGTTATTAATTCTTTCCTTCAATGTACCTAATATGCAAAAATAAAAAATACTGTGATTTTGGAGGGGAAAAGGTCACTTCCTCCCTGGGGAGATGAGCATTTTTTAGCTTTCAGAGATATTTATGCAACCAAATCCAGTCTCTCACTCAGGTCACTGACACAGGAAGGACTGGAGCAGGGTGATGATTGTGAGTGAAACTTACTTCAGCAAACACTGGTTTTGAGGAGTCGGTCTTACAGAGTACAGAAAATCTGCTATCAGATTCACCATCTGAGTTGAAAAATTATAATCAAGATTTTCTTTTCTTACAGGCAGCAATTAAAATCAACTTGGACTTGGCCCCAGGCTCCTTTGATGATCAATACCACGGCTGCCACCAACAGGTCATGGAGGAGCTAAATCAAGGGGATTACTTCACAAAAGAACTAGAAGCCTATAGGAATTATTTCAGGATCTGGCAAAATGCCCACTTGAACTGGCTGAACCAAGCTAAAGCTCTCCCTAAGAACATGACGATCACACATGCTGTGGCCATCTTGGTCTACACATTAAACGACAAATTTCGCTCTGACTTCACTAGAGCCATGGCCAGCACTGCCCAGTGTCCACAAGAGTATAAACGTTCATTCCATTTCAAATACCTACATTACTACTTGACCTCTGCAATCCAGCTGCTGAGGAAAGGGGCTGTCATGAGAAATGACTCTCAGTGTTACGAGGTGTATCACGAGGCTGATTTCTACTTGGAAGCCAAGCTAGGTGACACCCTTCGATTTGGCCAATTCCTCTCCACCTCCCTCCTGAGAAAAGAGGCGCCGAAGTTTGGGAACCAAACTCTATTTACTATATTTACCTGCCTGGGTGCATCTGTACAAGACTTCTCTCTCAAGGAGGAGGTCCTGGTCCCTCCCTATGAGTTGTTCAAAGTTGTAAATATGAGCTACCATCCAAGAGGAAATTGGTTGCAATTGTGGTCAACTGGACATCAGAGCGCATGTAACTGTGAGCTGCTAAAAGGTATTATTATTGATCTAAATTGAATTCACGCTTATCAGGATCACAGACTATTATTCTTTTATAAAATATATTTTCCTGAGTGGGCTTGGGGTGGAAAAGCCAAAAACATAGAAATTGGCCTTCAATAATGGTGGAACTAACAGATTAGAAAAAAAGAAAAGAAAAAAGATTGCCTTATTTCTTGGTTCCCCTCTCTTCTTTCTCCTTAACCACCTCTAGGAAAACATATTTCTGCAATGGCAATAATATGTGGGACATTTTAGATGAGCAAGTAAACCTCTACTGGAAAAGATGGCACATATAATATAGCATCTCATTTTTTTTTGTTATGATCATTTCATAAATAAGGAGTGCTAAAATAAAGCAGGAGGTACAACTCATTCATTCATCTTATCTATTCAGTGTCTTCTATGTTCCAGGAACTGACATAGGAGACCCCAGGCAATATAAAAAGAATAGAGCAGAACCACTATCCTAAGAGGATTTTTATTCTAATGAGAAATGGAAATATGAAGAAATATCTGTACACAAAAGTACAGAGTAACACACCCAATGTTTAAGCAATGGTTGTGGCTGCTCAGTGTAGAAGCTACTCATTCTCTCTGGAGAAAGTGAGGAAAACTTCATAGTAGAAAATCACATGGGACTTGAAGTAAAAATGGGGGTTTTCAGTGAGAAAAGAGGAAAAGTCATTTCAAGAAGAAAACAGTATATACTAAACCATAGAGATTTCAAACAGCCTCGTGACCTCAGAGAATCTCCAAAATCCTGGATGGCTGCAATGTAGGACGGAGGAGGAGACTAGGAATAGAAAGACAGTAGGAGAGGGAGCTGGTCAGGAGAGTTCTAATGGGGCCCGACTGTAAAAACTCATGTTCCAGGCTCAGGACCTTCAAACTTTGTTCATGCCATATGTAGGTAATGAGAAATCACCAGAAGTGTTTAAGGAATGAAGCATCAGTTAAATCAATATTTTAGCAAGAACTCTAATGATTTTGTGGGAAATGAACTGAATACAAGAAGCATTCATTTGGGTGGGAGGGTCTACCTTTGAAATATCCGTGAATCTTTCTCTACTCCATCATTATTGCTACTGTTAATAATTCAGGCTGTCAGCATTTCTCAACCTGTCAGAGCTGTGGTGCTGCAAAGGGCCTCAAGCTGACATCCACACTGAGGGCTGGAGCCTGCTCACTCTGGCCCTAGACCAGGGGAAAGGTGACCTACTGCACCTTTTATCTTCTCCCTCCTCTCTTTGGCCGTGGGACAGGCAGCAGCGTGAGTGAAAAGCATGTCTGCCCCACAGATCCACGAGGTTAGAGTTTGTAGAGGAGAATGAACAACTTAGAGTAGAATCTGAAGAAAAGTGAGGTTTGATAATAAATGAGAGAACATTTAGAGCCAGGTTCCAGGATTATTTGGAACTATACCTGACCAGAACACTATTGCTTCATTCTCATCATAAATTTGAAACAAATAACTCTTCTACTGGGTAAATGAGCACTGTAGAATATATTCAGTGAAAACTCGTAGAACATGTATGTCAAGGAACAGAAAACTAAGGGAGAAGAATATGTAATAGAAACTATTACCTATGTTCTTGCCATTCTGTAAGTCTCAAAGAAAAATATTTCAAGACCTTCCCATCCAAACCAATGATCTTTACTTTCCTGTGGTGAATCTACTCAAACACAACTTTAACTTTTAAGGTTTAGCTGGGGTAAGCCATGCATATTACTAGATTATGGATGCTCGGTTGGTCTTTATTGGATACTTGAAATCGTGGATCATGCTTAAAGCAATCGATCAGCTCATGTTGCTCTGTAAGCTCTCTGTGGACAGGGACTTGACTACATAGTATTTAAGAGCTTGGCATGGAGTCCAGGCAGTTTGACCTTAAACTACCCTGTCTGGGTTCATATCCAGCTTGCATCACTTTTTAGCTATGTTCTCAGCCAAGTTGCTTATACTCTCCAAGTTTCTTCATCTACATAAAGAGCATACAGGACTCTTGTGAAGATAAAATAAAATACTACGTTATTTCTACACTCCCTATCATACATTAAAGGATAAATAAGCATTGGCTACTGTTAACTTTAGTCCCCTGGCACATATTTATTGAATAAGTGAATGAATAAATGCGGCATTTTCTTTTATGTCTCTAAGTGAGCTGGGCCTTGGGTCAGATGACCATATGACTCAATTGACTAAAATTAATTTTAATATTTGCTAGAAAGGGAAAATATTCTAGAAGGTTCAATCCCTAGTTAAGACTAAGGAGCTACAGCCATACTTAAATGATCTGGAATGTGGCCCTGGCCTGTTTGCCTCAGAGGTTGAGTGTTGGACTGCGGACCAGAGTCCCAGGTTCGGTTCCCGCTAGGGGCATGTAGCATCAAAAAAAAAAAAGATCTGGAATGTGGTCACTTGCAATGTGACTTATCATATCTATATATTTTTTCTTGGAAATTTGCCAATTAGCAGCTTGTACAGCCTTGGAGAAAGAGGCTATAAATGGCAGTATAAAAATAACACTGGTCTTAGAACGTAGTATGTTGTTCAAAGACATTATAACCATAGACCAAGAGCTGGAATTAGGGTTTCTTCCCAGCTAGCACGGCTATAAAACTATCTGGAAGAGCCTCAGGAGACGAAGATCATCTCGAGCTTCCAGGATGACATTCGTCCTTTCACACTAGGCTCTGTCTGAAGTTGCAGAGAAAGCTGCTTCATCCTCTGGTTCCATCTTACCCAAGCCTCTTCTGCCATTGGCTGGTTGTTAGCACTGTCACTGTAGTTGAGGACAAAAACACTGTATAGACTTGGAATGGACACAAGTATCCACCTAGCTCTAATATTTTTTTTTTTAAGTTTTCAATTGACTTCAGATTACTTTCAGTTATTAACTGAAATGTTTTTTCTCAATGAGTAAGTTATTCCTGAGATTTTCCTTAAGTCATTTCTGTTAACTGATAAACAATACTCTATCTCAACATCCTGGAGCAGTGGTGGATTGATCCATACATGAGCAATGGGAGGAGGGAAGTGATATGTTTTCTTATTTAGGACTCCTTCGCTGGGATGAACTGAGATCATTGTGCTGTAGGAGAAGAAAAATAATTTTTCTTCTACCCTTCTACATCCCCACCCCCATCACCACCACCATGATGAAAAGACAGTTTAACAAGAAAAAAATTTTAGTTTTATACATACAGGAGCCCCATAAAAATACTAGACTCAAAGGCAGCCAGGCAATTGAGGCTTATAATGTTCCTGAACTAAGGAAAGAGACAGGGGTCTGGAGCTTCAAAGGGAAGGAGGACAATTCATAAGAAGATGAGACAAGTAAATGTTCCGTAAACAAATGTTTGCCTTGCCATTCAGATAAGTCTCTGATATAAAAGGTTATTTCTAGTAGTAGCCCTCTTCCTGGTACAGGACCCCTGTCTAAATTCTTTTAGGCAGTTAAGAGGGAGGTAACAAGCTTTTTACTGGGCCTTGATTGCCTTCAGCTCAAATAATCATCATGCCAAAGAAACATATTTTGGGATGACATATTCTGCTCCCTTTCAGTCCCCTCATCAGACCTGATTTTCTATGTAACTGTTATGCTCGCATCACTTCTCCAGTCACCAGGATTGCATGATTCACCTCAGCCTAGAGAATTCACAGATGCTGTTCTGGAGTACTGATACCCACTTCTTCATGAAACTGGAGTCATCTCGGGAGATGGTTTCTTGTCCTTTCCATTTTTTTGCCAGCAGAAGTCATACACTATTCTATGTCCCAGAAAGTCCCAATGAGCAGTAACTTATGTTTCCTCTCCTGTTCCGTCTTCACCTGGAGGACATGATATTTGAAAGGCAACATGAACACCTTTAAAACTGGGCAGCCAGGACACTGTAATTCTCCCAATGAAGAGACAGTAGATTAAAGGATAGTCCAGTCCTTCAATTTATTTTAAAATTGGTTCTGCTAACTTTCACCTGCAGTTCTCAATTTCAAAGAGTTCCCAGGAATCGGTCGCCTTAGGGAGTGAATTTGACAAAAGAAAAATTGTTTAAGGCATTTTAAACTAACAGCTTTCCCTTCTAATTCTTCTCTCACCTCTCACATGGCCTACACTGGTTACCATAGAAACAGATGTTTGCAGGCCCATACAGAGACTCAAAGTATGTTATGTTAGTTATTTTCCTTAAATGTTGCTTCTTCAGCAAAATAATCTGCGCCAAAACTCTGTAGACACACAAATACATGCTCTGTTCTGTGTCACTGAATTCACAAAGAAGAGGGATTCATTTGTTAAAATAATTAACATAATCAAAATTCTTAAGCATGTTTCTGGAAAAATAGTCAATTGTTTGTAGTAAACCTAGTTTTGCATGTTAACCTTGCCAGTTGCTAGCAGAGAAAACATGGGCAAATGGTTTAGTCTGTCTGTGCCTGTTTCTTTACAGGTAAAATAGAAATAATTTTTTAAATAAAACCTAACATAAGATTCTGAGGAGCAAACACACTTAGAATAGTATCTGACACTTGTAAGTACTCAAAACTTCTTAGCTACTATTACCATTATGATTATGATTGTTTATTTTATTAACTTTCTGTTTTCTTTTACTCTGGACTTCACTTTTCTCAGATTAGTTTTACCTATTTTGGCATCACATTCACCTTGAAGAAGCATGTGTGTCTCAGACAAATGGATGAAAGAATGAACAAGTGATTAAATGAATCTCAGAGACCACATGGCATGGTGGAAGGAGGATAGACGCTGAGCCTGAGCCAGGAACCCCCGGGTGTACGTTAGTAGCTATGTGGCCGTGTGTAAATGACAAACTCTGAGCCTGTTCCTTTGTTTATTAAATGGGGGCAATACTTGCCTAGAGGAAATTGTGACAGCAAGCAGTATGTACCCTCTCAAACACAACTGAAAAACTCCAGAAAGGACTGTGCACGTGGAAATGGGATAATGGAGCAAATGTGTGCTTCACTGGCATTTACAGTAACAATAGAAACAAAGTGTTATTGGTGGGGTTCTCTCGGTGGCTCCATCTGTTACCGGTGGAAGTAGAGTTCTTGCAATGTCACAAGGAAAGGAATTTCCTGAGACTCGCACGAGAGGATGAGTGATCTTTATTTCTGTGCAATTAAACCCTAGGGTTTCCAATGTTGCATTTCCCTCTGTCCTGCCATGAAAAAGTCCAGTCTTGTCTTCAGCAGGGCAAGAATTAAGGCCACTGCCCAGAGTCTCTGCCCCATATCAAAGCACAGTTCAGCCCAATATCTGGCTAGCTTAGCTTGTGTTCCCAGCTGCAGTCCATTGCGTGGGGGGGTCTGTATGGACCATGGCAGGCTAGTATATGGGCCGGTGGGAGTCACAGAGCAAGAGAGCACAAGAGCAAACAAGAGAGCAGGAATCCTATGTCTGGGGAATTGTAACCTTCCAAGATCTCACACGCTTGCAGGGTTCCACCGTCCTAACTGATTATCCTTTTTCCCAGGTTGGATTGACAGGCAAACACCTTCCCTGCATCACCCCAACTTCAGTGCACATGCACCCATCTCTGCCTTTGAGCCCTTTCCCTGGTGATTTGCAGGGAGTAGAGGGGTGATTTCCTGGGGAGTGTGAAGCTGTAGCTTCCTGGTAAAGCTACCCAGATGACCATGCTTACAATATCTGGCCTCCCCTTTGCTCTCTTTCCATTATTAATATTAATAACTAAGCTAATTACAACAATAACAAAAGGAAGAGAGAGAAGCAATAACGCTTACCATTTTTTGAGTGCCAACTGTTTTCTAAATAACATTCTAAAAGGTTAATGTTCATTATTCTCTGCATTTTGGCAGAAAAAAGGCTATAGATAGCTTACCTCCAAATACTAGATTAACCAGCTGTGCTGCATGTCAGTTTTACCTTTTTGTTTTTTTTTCAAGAGCTTGAATGTTTCTTTCTGAATAGTCTGATATAATTCACAGATTCAGACTTCATGAAATAAAAGGTATAATAATTATGTATTTCTCCCCAGACTGTATACCCTAAGGTAGAGATTACCAAAATTAGGTTATACACCAATAAAATGATAATTGTGTAGCAATTAGTTTACAAAAGACTTTCACATACATTATGTGCTTAATTCTTACAGCCATCCTGTATATATTCACACTATGCTAATGTGAATACTGAGGTTTAGAGAGGTTAAATGGTTTGTGTAAGGTTTTTTCAATTAGCTCATATATGACAACAATAGGACTTTTTGAACAAAAAGTCCAGGACAATTTTCTCTATAGATTGCTTTTAGGAGATTTATTTGTCCATTCAAAAATGTTACAGAGAACCTACCGTTAGTTTCAATCTTCTTTGACTCATCTCTCATAAGTATAAATATATAAATACACACAAATGTACATATAACAAGACAATAGTTCACCTTTACATATGCAGTGTGACTCTAGTGTTTTTTATTCTTAAAGAGTAATGGTTGTGACCTACAAAACTTTTGTTATAAACCATTAAGGGATCACAACCTCCAACTGGAAAAATATTAAACTAGGGTACGGAGGAAATAAGAAGCTTTGGATAGATAGTCTAGAAGAAATGTAAAAACAAATACAAAAGTAAAACTAATGTGAGATATTCTCAAATTGAAGATTTTATAGATGGTAATTAATTTAATTCACAGATGTTTTTCATTTATCTTCCTAAATATATTGTCTGTGTTAAAATAATAATAATGTGAGATAGAAATGATAATGACCATAAAAAAGATAGAGAAAAAGTAACAGAGTTAGAAAGGTTTCTGTAACCTAAGAAGATAAAATTAAAATAAGACATTTTTAAGAGGGCTTAAGAGGTGCTTTCGAAGAATAAGTATGATTACAGCATAGTAATGTCTATATGTTTTTCTCATATTTGAGCATCATCATAATAGCAGTGAAGCAAAGTGAAGAGTAGTGGTAGTGATCATATTTTCAAAAAAACCTTGAGATACTGTCATTTGACAGATTAGAAAACTCAGGCTTCATGAAAGTAACTAACATGGTCAAGTCAATCAGCTGGGGGCAGAGCTTCAACACCAAAGCTAATCACTTTCAAAAACCATGATCTTTTTCTACTATATTGATTCACTGTCAATCAATATTTTCTGATAACTCTTCAGTAGAATCTTATTTCATTAAAAAGTGAGAAAAGGCGTGGTTGGAGGTCTTCGTGATCTCTAGCCTTAGGGAAGAGAAAACAAAACAAAAGTTTGAGAATCATTGGAATGAACAACCTCCTAAAGTGGTATGAATGGTTCCTAGGTCCCTATGAAAATCAGATAAATACACTTTTAACACTAAGTTTGACAAAATATTAGAAATATGTATGTATATAATTTACCTTGTCTACTCTTATTGGTAAAAGTTGGAAGTTGGAACAATAATGCTGGCATATATAGAATTCTAAATAGAAATTCCTGGAAACTCAATGGATTTTATATATTATGTGAAAGTATGGGAAAATATCCCCTCCTCATCCAGTCGAACATCCTATTAAACAATATGGTTAAATATTAAGGCAACCACAGAGCTGAATGTTTTTCTACATCAAACGTCTTTTCTACCCTAATAATCAGTGAAGTCTGGTTGAAGTGATTTCGCTCTTAATTTAGAGTATTTTTAAAAGATTTCTCTCTTCTATTGCATTCTGTATTTTCATTCCACTATAGTCCCTAACAATAAATATTTCGTATTCAAAATTTGCTTCCTTCAGCCATACCTAACCTTTACCTACTTCCTGTGAAGGACATCTCTCTGTAGGGAGTACACACACACACACACACACGCGCGCACACTCACCTTGTAATTTAAAAAATTCTATGAGAATGTGCAACATATTGAGAGATACAATATAGTGGTTAAATATGTAGTGTTAAGCCAGACTGCCTGAGTCTGCCGACACTACATATGAGGTGTATGATGTTTGATAAATTTCTTCACATCTCTGTGTCACAGTTTTATTAACTAAAAAAGAGTGAGGATAATGAGAATAACTACCTTAAAAGAGTTGTGAGGATTACATTAGTTAATATAGCAAGTGCTTAAAACAGATCCTAACACAGAATAAATTAATCAGTGTTAGCTTTCATAATGGTCATCAAGATGTTGATAAAGAAAGATGAGGATAATGGTGATGGTGATAATGCTGATGATGATAATAAAGACTGAAAATCAGGAGATCTTTTACATGTACACAATGGAATACTATGCAGCTGTAAGAAAGAAAGAACTCTTATCCCTTGAGACGACAAGAAAGGACCTGGAGAGTATTATCCTAAGCAAAACAAGCCAGTCAGAGAAAGACAAATAGCACATGATCTCACTTATTTGTGGAATATAATGAACAAAACAGGCTGAGGAACAAAATAGACCCAGAAACATGGAAGTGGGGTATAGACTGATGAAACCTCAGAAGAGGTGGATGTGGGGGGAGGAAAGAGATAAACCACAGAACTTATACGCATGTATGCATAAACAAGGACATAGACAATAAAGCTGGGGACAGGGGCAGAATTGGGAGGAGAGTGTCAAGGGGGGGGGAGGAGAAACATCTGTAACAAAAATAAATAAATAAATAAATAAATAAAACTTTAAATAGTTGCTCAGAAAGACAAAAAGAAAATCAGGAGATCTCTACCCCCAACCAGCTGGGTAACCTGAAATAAACCTCTTAATCTCTTGGTGCTGTTTCATCATCTGCAAAGTATTCTGAGTTCTGTTACCTAGAAATATCGGAAAATACTTTTTTCAAAGTAGCTAACTCTGAATACTTTTATTATAAATTTTCTAAATTAAAAAAATGAGTGAAAGAAAAAATTAAGTGGGTTTTTTTTTAAATTTCTGCTACCTAAAATATCTCTAACTCTTTTGTTTGTTTTTACAGCTTCCAGCAAAAAGTGCATGCCAGCTCCTGCCGTTATTGCTGCTCTCTCCTTTTTGATCAGTGTTATTATCTTTTCCAAAAGTGAAGTATAGAGGAACCTTGTCATTTTGTTTTTCCTGAACCCTTTTGTTTTATTCCAGTCAAGGAACCCTGTATATCCTTAGGAAATCACTCTGCCCCTCCTCCCACATCAACTGATGCAGAGCGGGCTCAGGCCATTGCCTATGAGTGGGCCTGTAACTCAGTATGTTTCTTCTCCATGGCCACAGAGATCCATGATGGAGTAGAAAATGACCCAATCAGAGTTTATGAGATAAAATCAGGGTACTTTCGCTCTGGCCAGTTTGGCTCAGCATTGGAGCGTCAGCCTGCAGACCAGAGAGTCCTGGGTTCAGTTTCTGCCAGGGGCATGTACCAAAAGAAAAAAAATTGGCACTGGGATTTGGAATGAGGTGGTGCTTTCTTTTTATTTTTTAGTAGAGATTAATTAAAAGAGAGTACGATCCTAGAGCTGCTAGCAGCTATCTTGTCTCCAGGAAAGGAGGCCCTACCTCCCTGAGAATGGAACTAACACAGTAAAGGAAGAGCTAAGAAATGAAAAAAAAAAAAAAACAACTGTGTCTGGATGAGCGTGTACAAGCCCCTAGATCCAACTGTGCCTGAAACTGCATACTGCTGGCTTTTTCATTACATGAATCAATAAATCATATTTTTGCTTAAGTAATTTGAATTAACTTTTTATTTCAAGCAATTGGAGGAGTTAAGATGACTATAAAGATACTCCTTTAGTAGTCTTAAATAAAAACAAATCAGGGATGCTTGAGTTAGAAAGCAAAGGACAAATTCTTCATCAAATGGAAAAGCTTTGAGCCCCAGAGACATAATTAAGGAGCAAATTTCCTTCACAGTTTTATTAGTATTCAAGACCAAATTAGTGTATTCCCAGATGGGAGAAAACATGAAAACTTGAGAAATACAAAGGAAAGATGGTAGTAAAATCTCATTCACTGCCAGTAATGGTATGCTGCATATATGTTTCTAAACTATTTTAAAAAGTTAAAATTTTAACTCATGTGTTAATTTACAGAGAACTTGTGGATTTTAAGTATTCATTGCAAATTTATGTGTTTCAGTAAAGCATGTGGATGTGGATGGAGATAAAGTCAAAGATTTGAGAGGAAAAAAATATCTAATTACCAAGCAACTATCAGTGCTATATTGAGTTCCCATTATGTGTAAACAATTAGGTAAAAAGAAGTTTAAATAAACAAACTTCACAGTTGGGAATGTTCTCCACCTCTTCTCTCCAGTAGTAGACAAAATGTGAGGCGATTGGGGGATCACTTGACCTCCTCTCCAAAGACCCTAGTATTGGGCTAAATGGAGTGAAGTGAGAGCTAACTTTATACCTTGGAATTCTGAAAGTCCACGCTACTTAGAGATTTGGATATGAAACAGTAGAAGTGAAAATCAACTCATTTAGCCCCAGTAGGACTAACTGAAGGGTCTGTGTCATGACAGAAGAGACTCAACGGGAAATTGGAGGCTTTAAATCACCTGGTAGAGAATTCAGCCATCTAGTACTATCATTGTTTACATTGGGATTTTGAGAATATCGGGGCCAAGGGCACCTCCATCACCTAGCTTGCATTGGCCTCTACACACAATAAAGCAAGCACAGAACTTCCTTCAAAATAATTTATATGATTCATTGCATAGGGACTTTGGCAGATTAGTGGCTATCTAGTAAAAAGTCCAGGGGGCATGGATCCAAAAAAGCTTTGAAGTGAACTTTTGTTGGTGAGGCAGTGATAAAATGTGTTAGAAATAACCTCCCAATATCTTGCATACTTTTTTCTGTGCCATATAAATTTATTTATTGAGTCATAGCATGTACAAAGCACTTTGGAGATCAAAAATTGAATACTAGACCAGATCTTCCATAAGTTTATAATCTCTTGGGAGAAATTAAGAAAACAACACAAACAAATCACAAAAGGAAAATGTCAAGTCTTCCACCCTTCAAAATTCAGAAGAGAGATTTCTTCTAACTGAGGCAAGAGGAGAAGCTTCAAGTAGGAGGCAACATTTGAGTAAGGTCTTGGGACACTGGAATGGGAGCAAGGGGTGAGAGAAAGGAGGGAAAACAGTAGGAACAGGTGTATATCAAGTGCTTGGTGCCAAAAATGAAGACAAATAATAAGTGCTTGGAGTTTAGAGAAAAATGAGATTCTTCTGGCCTGGGGTTGAATGTAGCTTTCTATTAGAGAAGCAGCTGAAGGGAGGGGCTTCAGAATGGTAGAAAAGAAAGCTGAGTAGAAAAAAAAGAGGTGAGCTATAGGAACAATCAATGTATATAAGGGTCAGAAAATAGACAGGTCTGCCAGAGTGAAGGAGTAATGTAGCCTGGAAAAGAAAGCTGAAGCCACGGAGCTAAGCTCAAAAGCCAGCCTAAAGCATTGGATCTCCATGAGAAATCATTGTTCTGGCTAAGACAGTTCTCCTAACTCAGTTGCTCTTGAAGCATGCTCCCAGTATCCACAGCAGCAGCATCCCTGAAGAACCTGTTAGAAATGTGAATTTTAGGGACTGAACCCAAATCTATGGAATCAGCAACCCAGAAATCTGTGTTTAATAAGTCTTCCAGGCTTGTGACTTATGTAATTATAATTCTTAAGGGAATAACCAAGTTTTTTAAAAGATAATTTAGTTCTTTTTCCTCCTGCCATTGCTTTACTGAATAAATCTCTGGAGATAGAAATAATTCTCCTGAATCAAATAGATTTGTGGATTTAGTTAAGGAGGAATGTCTATAGTTTTCATTCCCTCAATCTCTGCCTGTGGTCCCAATTTTTTGAGCAAGGATTGTGTCAAATAGTTCATTGATTTAAATTGACTCAAACTCTAAGTCCATAAAAATTTAGGAGCCCAGTTTTTAAAAATTCTCGGTAATTTCTGCTCCTTTGTTATCTGGAAGATCTTCTGAAGATAAATGAACCTTTAAATGTGCATAAATTCACATGGATTGATAAAAGAAACTATACTGTGAGGTTGCTTGGCATTTATCTCCTATAGTAATTTTATTCAAATAACACATGCATCTCTCTTTCTGTATATACAAAAATTCTCTGGCTCCATTTATTATTTTTATCTTTACAATACAGTGTTCTAATATGTCTATCTGCTTGTCTTTAAGTTCTCTGTTTACTCTTACTTTAAAAAAAAATCTATCCAGTGAAGGAAAATTTTGGTAGAGTTTGGTTTGATTGGGGAATCGGGATTCTTGGCCTGAGTTATCTAATGATCTGAATCTAATGGACTTACACTGAGTGGAGTAGGTCTTGATTTGGTAAAAGTCAACAGACATTTATTTAGCTAGATGCTTTCAGAAATACCAAGGTATACTAAACATTGGCTGCTGGTAAAAGGTGGGGGGCTATTATAAGTATTACAGAATTTTTCTTTCTTTCTTCAATTATTTTTTAGTAAAAACTCATGTATTTTGTTTTGTTTCTGCTTTATGGCAATTCACTTTTTTCTCCCCACTTATGCTTCATTCAAATAGCCCAAAGTGTGCTCAAGACCTCAGAGAAGGAATGAGATGAGGCATAAGATAAGACCAAGTGCATCTTCCCCACTCTGTTCTCCTAAACCTGAAAAAAAAATTGAGAATAAATAAGAGGAACCCCAAACCAAAGTCTTTGAGAGAAACATTAAGTAAGAGTAATAGGTTTGAAAAGAGCATATCGTTCCCTAATGTTTTCTTCCACAAGCTGGGAAGCAGCAGCAGACAAGAAGTCACCAGAATGGGCAGATTGGTGGTGCCCAATGGTGGGAAAATGTCTGTGAAAGTCACTCTGAGTGATGGCCAGCATCTGAAGACCATGCATCTTTAGTGAAGCAAATACCACTCATCACTAACATCAAGGGGCCACACTAGCCACCATTCCCACTGGTATCTGGGGAGATGGTCCCTTGAACTGCCAGTCATTCTTCCAGTCGTTTCACAAAAAAGACTCTGCAACAGACTCTTCACGGTCCTTGTCCCATTCATTTCCATGTGGGTCCCTCCAGCTGTTGAAACATCCTGAGAGACAGACCTAAAACCAAAGAGAAGACGGTGAAAGCCTGGACACATACAGGTTCAGAAAAAGTAGCAAAGTGAGAGCTGCACCTCCCTACTCTCATTTATATATGTGTATTTTTGAGGGGAGAGTAGCAAATAGATCAGCTCAAGATAAGATATTAGCAGATACCTATTGCAAACAAATGAGGTTTCAGCTTTGAAGCTGAGACAAAATGCAGAGCTAATGTATTAAAACTCATGCTTTTGTCAAGCCCTCTGAGCCCTGGAAACAGTCAAAATCCCCTTGACCCTGGCCACAGAATGTCTTGATGGTCTCACTGTTAGGGAGCAAGGATAAGATTCCTTGTTTAAGATTACAGTGGTAATTACAATGACAGCCTCCACTTTGGAGCTGAGCTCTTGGCTCAGGCTAACGACAGTGCAACTTTCAAGTAGCCATGACTAAGGAGGTTGTCTTGGTCCAAGTGACTGCATAGAAGGCTAAAGAGTATGTAGAATACCTTCTTCCTCCCTCTCCATCAAATGCTCACACATAATTTCTTTCCCTGTTAGTTTCTCATGCTTCAGACTTTTTTTTTTTTTAACAGAGTATGGAGAAATTTCCTTTTTAAGGACGAAAATGAGATTTAAATTTTTAAATGAGGAAATGTTTAAAGGAGGAAAACAACTTAGGCATTTTCAGAAGAAAAATTCCAATAAAGAACTAGAGTAATTAATTGCTTTTCTCATTCTCAACAAAGTTCCTAGTAGGTGTCATGTGAAGTAGGGCAATCTTGAGAGCATACACTCATTGACAATGCATGAGAGCCAAAGACCTTACATAGGCAAATGCACTTATCTAACTTTGCTTCCCCACTAGAATCACATCTCAGATATCCTACTTCTGCAAGTGTCATGGTCTTTTCATTGTGAAAGATTAGATCACCTCCATTTTTCAGCCTCTAATATCTTCTCATAATAAGACCTCAGTAGCAGACAAATGAGAATAAATCATCTTATCTAATCTAATTCATGTAAGCAAGAAAATTCTGTTACTCCTCATTCATTGTTCTTATTTACTTCTGGATAAATCTAATCAAAAGCATTGAGAGAGTGCTTATGATAGTGAAGGCCCTGACTATACAGAAATTGGTATATGAGTGACAAAAATGCAGAGAGTTACTTTATATGTTTTCTAACCCAAGAAACAGTTGTTTCTTCCTGCCAGATTATCTAATGATAATATTTACATTTACCTGGACTTTGCACTGAAGTAACTAGACAGAATTACTAAGAGAGGACATTAGTTTAAGGTTATCTCAATTATCCTTTAAGATGAAATATAATGTTTAGGAACAGCCTCAAATGTAATATTACCTTGATTTTTTTAACAATAAATTCTTTTTAGTAACTACCATTTCAAGCAGGCTTTTTTTTATCATTTTTTTTATTTGAATAAAGTGAAACTTAAATTGTTTGCCAGGTGACTCCTCTTTGTACCAATTTCCCAATAGACCACACATCTAGAGTCAAAGGTCTAAGAATGTGCAATGAAAACTCATAGGATTTAAATTGATTTTCTGACAAAAATGAGCACTTCTGTTGCACTCCCACTAGTCGTTGGCTTTCTTAAGCCCAGAAATATTCTTTTCCATAGTCTTTACAGTCTTTTGGAGGCCCTCTAAGGCTGGTCCCATAGTTTTGACAATTTGCTCCAACTGATCTGCGGCTGACTCAATGGTGTTCTTGGCATTTTCAGTTTTTAGTACATCCTGCAACTTTTTCACGGTGTCTATTGAAGTGGTTTTGGATGGATCTGCACTTGGGCTTTTCTGAGATGTGGTAGCATCTGATAGCTCTTTGGTGTCTTTTCTATCGAAGTCACTTAATTGAAGATTCATAATGGGATACTTGATCAAGAGTGAAAGAGAAGATTCCAAACTCGCAAGGATGTTACCACTATTCAGCAAGGAGGCAATGATTGGTAAAGGGACACTTTTGAACCCTTCTTTAGCTGACTGCTGCAACTCCTTTACATTGGCACTCTTCTCAACCACTGAGGACATAGCTGTTGCAATACTGGAAAATAAAGGTTTCTTTTGCATTTTGTCATCCTTTGCTTCCACTACAGATTTCATCTCCTTAACAATTCTGAGCATTTGTTCAAAGATATCCTTAATATAACCATCTTCCTTCACAGCCATCAAGATGATCTGAGTATTCATACTTCTGTTAAAAAATTCAGTAAGTGTGTTTGTGAAGGAAGCAATATCTTGCATGTGAAGAAAGAACGTTTTGGCAACTTGAACTAGCCTCTCCTTATCTTTCTCTGACTCTGAAGACATTTCTCCAACAAAAATGTTTCAGCACTGCAAAACAAAGCAGCAATCCAAATGAAAACTAAAAGTATATCTGTTAGCCATTAACAAACTACAAAAAAAAAAAAAAAAAAAAGACTCAAAGTATTATCTAAACGTTAATACTATCAAGGGTTGGAAAGCTACACAAGCTTAAAGCAGAAATGATCCTCTGCTGTAATAAAAATAATACCAAAACTATTGAAACAGAGCAGAATATGGGTGTTTCATTAAATTTAAACCACACATCAAATACAGTGTGCTGGATCCGGAATTGGATACGCTGATATATGGAGTGACACTATTCTCAGGTATTACCCTCAATAACCATTCAATCTAGTGGAAAACATTGAATAAAGCTTTAAAAATAATACAAAGAGGTTCTGGTTAGGATAGAGCAAGCACACTTCATACAACCCTTTCTACTAGTTACAACTAAAAATCTTGGGCAAAATATATAAAGTAACTATCAGATAACTCTGAAAGATGGATAATAGCAGACCGAGGAGGTAGAGAATGTAGCATTTCAAAGAAGATCAAGGTCATTTGATACAAAATCGCAAAATGTCTTTCCTATCAAAAAAATGTTTCTGTACTTTCATTACAAACTTCTTCTATAGAGAGGAGTATTCATGTTGCTAACCACTGTTCATGATCCTTCTTTTTTTTATTTTCTCTAGAATTTTGTTCTATCAATCATCTTCTCCTTCTCTTTGCTGTGGACTAAATAGTACACTATCCCTTCCCCCAAATTCATATGCTGAAGCCCTGACCCTTAGTATGACTATATTTGGAGAAAAGAAGTAACTAAGGTTAAATCAAGCCATAAGGGCAGAGTTCTGATGTGATAGGAAGCGCCAGAGGCCTCACTCTCTCTCTGACATGTGAGAACACAATGAGAAGGTGACTGCCTGCAAATCAGGAAGAGAGCCCTCACCAAAAACTGAATGGGCTGGCACCCTGATCTTAGATTTCCCAGCCTCCAGAACTGTGAGAAAATCAATTGCTGTTGTTTAAGCCACCTGGTCTATGGGATTTTGTTATGGCAGCCATCTGGCATCCTCCATCTCACTCTTCAATTTCCCTTCTCCTTTACATACACATTCAGTTTCCTCCTCAGTTATAAAGAAACAAAAGTTTGACCCTAACTTCCGTTCAAGTAATGATGCCATCTCACTCCTTCCTTTCTCAAAAGAGAAATTATAATTTATTCTGTCCCCCATTATTTTTCTATAAGGCACCAATAACTTCTAATTATCAAATCTGCTGGCCTATTTCCAGGCCCTCACCACTTTGAGTTCTCTTCATTATTTAAAATTGCTGATCACCTCTTCCTACTTCAAAATGTTCTCTTCCTGAGGTCTCTATGATGTACAACTCTGGTCATTCTGTATCATCTCCAAGCATCCCCCCCCCCACCCCCACCCCCACCCACCCCACCCACCCCCATCCCCCCCACACAGGCTTCTCTTTCTCTTTATACCACCAATAGCTTCCGGGTCTCCTAAGCTCAGCAAGGCTGTGTCTTTGACCCTCATTATATTTTACACTTTCTCCCTGGGAAATCTCAACTGCCCCATAACTACAAATGCTATCTGTATGCAGATGACTCCTAACTCTCCTAGTGTAGCCTCAGCAGTTCTCCTGATCTCCAGGTCTACATTTTCAGCTGCCTGGTGGTCATCTCTCTAGGTGATTGCACCAGTATACTCCACACAACGTATCCAAAAACTGCACTTGTCTCCTCAAAAAACACGTTTCCTCTTAACCTTTGCCTTATTGCTGAAACTCAAAATCCATTTCCATTTTCTTTTTTCCCTTATCAAATCCACCCCTAAGATTTGTTAATTCTCTCTGAAATGAGTTCTAGCTGTCCCCTTCCTGAGAGTCTCATAACTAATACTATAGTTACCTCTTATTTTGACCATTTTAATAGTATCATATTTGGTCTCAATACCTTTAGTCCAGAGGTCACAAATACAGTCCAGGGGCAAAATCCAACCAGCAGATGTGTTTTGTTAGACCACCACAATGTGTTTTCAAAATTCATATCAGTTGCCACATTTAAAAACTGAAAGATAAATTTTTGATTTCTATTGATTATTGAAAAAAACAAAAGTGAGATTAACTGGCAGCATTAAGTCCAGGTTCTGAGTTGGGAAGATTACCCAGAGTGGAAGTTGTCCTCTTTAAACTAGATATTCATCTTATACACACTTCTATCTTATACTAAGTGTTTCGAGTACTTACGTATCTTGTCCAGCTACTGGAAGCATGGGAGTTGCTGACCCATGTTTATTGTTCATACCAACTGATTCACTTTATATAAAGTGATCTTTCTGAAATCTAAACCTCCGAATGTTATCCCACAATCAAAAACTTTTAATGGTTCAATATTGCCTACAGAATAAAATAAATTCCCTAGCATGGCATTTAAGACCATCTACAAACTGTTCCCAGTGTTTCGCTATTTGCCTTCCCGTGACAGCTTTCATATACACCTTGTACCACCACCAGCATAGTGGATTAATTTTTTTCCCCTGAAAATGCTCTAGAATATCTGTGCAGCTCCTTTGTATTCCCTATATCCACATTATTTCCTCTATACCCCAGCTCCTACACATCTGTGGAAATCCTACTTAACTTACCCAGCCATACCTAGTTCAGATCTACTGACTTCACCTGCTTTTTGCTTTTCTCCCCATGTCCCTACATGGTGGGACCCTAGGATACCTTGAGTACAAATTGACCTATTGGAACAAAAATTAAATTATACCCCACTTAGCCCTTCTTTAGGACTATGATAGGCAGCACCCTTAGATTGTAGAAGTCTCCTAGCTAGCATCTCGGTTCTGTATCCTCTACCCAACCAATAACCACAGAAATTGTTGTTGTTGGTATAAGAAGAGCTGCCATTTGTTTTTGCCATAGATCAGACACTATGCCAAGTGCTTTACATGTATTTACATGCATTATCTAAAGCATTATTTCATTTAATCCTTATGACAATCCATAAATTATATACTCATACACTACACCAGTGAAAATTATTTAGAGAGCGTAAATGACTTTCCCAGGTTTGCATGGTTAGTGACTGGTACTTTGGGTATACAAAACCAGGACTTATTCTAAAGCCTGCAGTCTCTCCACGAAATTACACTGGGATGAGTGATTCTCCTGCTTCTGAGGTGTCTTTGTTGTAGAGAAATCAGTGGGGATTAGGGCAGAATCCAGAGGAAGCATGGAAGACTCTGATCTAAACTTTAAGCGAAAAGGGTTAAGTCGGTCTTTAAAGTTTTTATATTGTTAAGACAATTCACCAAGATAACAAGAAAGATAGCAATAAAAGCCAGAGGAATTAATAGCACACCAAAAAATCCACATTTGGCTGGAAATATATTTGGAGTTATATCTCTTAGGAGCCTAAACAAAGCAACCAGCAACAGATGGAGGTACAAATGCCACAGAAGCTAAAGGAAACTTAATATCTAGACTAGTTGACAAGTTGAAATCCCAAAATCTGAGAGCTGCAAGCAAAGTGCCATCTTCTCTACTGAACTGAATTAGTTCAGTTATATAGCACTCTTCAAGAATAACAAGTCCATTAAAGAACAGGAAATTAAATGTTTTACCACTTTATTAGTCTTTCAAATTACATTACTTCATTCTAACTTTGTATTAATATAGGAAATAGAAGAATCCTGAGAGTTAAGCCATGCAGAAAGTCCACAAACCAGACAGGCAGAGGGACCCAGCAGAGATTAGCAAAGCCTGTAAGTCATCACATTCCATCAGAAACATCCAGATGAAACCAGATGAAAAAGCACTTCAACATTTCTGCTACACAACTGCTGGGACTGCTGACCTCTGAAACACAGCAAGGTAAGCCAGATGGGTGTTTTTATTAGTATTGATATAATACTGTTCCCCAATATTATAGGCAATTTGAAATAACATGTGTCTTAAATCCTAGCCAAAAATATAACAAAGGAACAAAACAACTTTGTTTTAAGAGGATCCAGTGGCATATTCCTTCTGATTATTTACAGTATTTCTCTGAAGACACCAGAGAAAGAAGAAAATTTACAGCGTATATAACTGATTAAGTCAGAGAAGGAGAAAAAGCAGTAAAGACATCAATTTTAGAAAAGATTAAGGATGAAATGACACCTGTGTCACTGTGTGTTGTTTACATGAATTGTGAAATTTCCTTCTATGTCTGTAACATTAATATAAGCACTCAGTAGCTGTAAAAGAGATGAATGTGCAGTCTAATACTAGTTAATGTATGGTGTTTATGTACCATCGTAAGTTATTACATTTAAATATCCTTGGGAATTTGCTGTATCTCTCCAAATAGAATGTTATTTTCTTGAGAGCAAGAAACATTGTCTTTTTTCTTTTAACACTTCAAAGCATATAGTAGATGTTTCTCAAGTAAGCACTTGGTAAATGCTGATGAATACGTTGATATTCTGCTTTCTGATCAGAAATATTCGTTAGAAAATTTTACATCAAAGTGTCTTCATTCCATGATCAACTTATTTCTTTCCTTTAATTAAAGGCTATGGTTTTGTATTAAAGGAGGCTCAGAACTAGTTAGTAACTGTTATTTTCTCCTGAAAAGCTCCTGCCTACTGCCTAGACCCTATTCCTCCACTCTCAAATAAATGAACCTTGCATGATAGCTGGGCCTAACGTGAATAGTGATACCAGGGAGAAATGTAAAATCTCAGAGAACATTAAAGACTAAACATCAGAGGCTTAGACAGGGTCATATTTCTTTCTTTCTTTTTTTTAATTGTTATTATGGGAAAAGTTAAAACAGAAGTAGAGATAATAATATAATAAACTCCCATGTCTCTATAACCCAATTTCAAAACTTATCAAAACAAGGTCCATCTTATTTCCTCTAAAACCCTACTCCTGCCCTGGCGGGTTTGACTCAGTGGTAGAATGTTGCCCCGGGACCAATGAGTCTTGGGTTTGATTCCAATCAAGGGCACATACCTCGGTTGCGGTTTGTCCCCTGCCCTGGTCAGGGTCGTGTGGGAGGCAACCAGTCAAAGTGTCCTTCTCACATCGATGTTTCCCTCTCTACCTTTCTCTCCCTCTCTTTCCCTCTCTCTCTATCTGAAGATACATAGAAAAATATCCTCGGGTGAGTATTAAAAATAAATAAAATAAAACCCTACTCCTCTCTCCCTTCTAGTTAATTTGGAAGCAAATCTCAGAGACTGGATCATTTCATTGTTAATGTTTTCAGTATGCATTTCTACAAAGGCAAGAATTCTTCTTGAAATTTAACTTTACATTCCCCAAATCGATAATATTTAACAGAACCATATTTGACTTTGAAACACACCCAATGTCCTGCTATAAAAATTTATTTTTGGTGGCAGTGTAAAAGTTTTTGGAAAGCAATTTGCAATACATATCAAAAGTAATAAAAATTTTAATTCGCATTAATTATATAATTCTTCTGTAAATTTATCCTGAGGAATATCCAGATACTACAAGGGGGGGGGGGGATTATATGTACTAACATGATCATTAGGATATTATGATAGTGAAACAATTATGAATTTATTAATTTTTAGTAAAGATATTTTATGGAGTATTTTATATAACCAATAAAGAGATTATAACACTAGAAATATGTTTAAGTAAATCAATATAAGATAAAAATCATATTTATATTATTATTGCAACTTTGTAAAAAACATATACATTTAAACAAATGAGAAAGAAATTACAACAAAAAATAATATGGATGTTTTTCCTCTTTTGTTTTAAAGTGTTTATATTAATGCTCTTGACTTTATATTTTAAAAGACTTTTATCACATCTCTGTTTAATTCCTTCACTTTTTCCACCCAACCCCACAACCCCTATTTTTAATATCTTCATGTTATAATTCTACCATCTGTAAAAGCAAATACCACCTGTCACTTTCTCCATGAAGCCTCCACTAATCACCTCAATATTGATTTCTCTCTTTAAATTTTTATAGCACTTGATAGTTAATGCACTACTGCTATTCGCAAAAGTATCCTGAGGATTTCTTTTTTTAATATGTGATCATCAATACATCTTTATTTTGTAAGGTGGTTCCTTTCCTGAAAAACTAAAACAATTGTATCATTTCACTAAATAAACCTTAACTTTTAGATACTACCATCAGTATATTTCTACCACTTCGTATATGCTTTTTAATCTTCAATGTTTACTTCTCAATGCAACAAAATTGACACGGATTCAGTAAGAATCCACCTGAATCATGCTAGTCTTTGTTCCATTCCAACATCCTAACACATGCTGATCACTGGCATTCCCAAATTTGTTTATTTCTTTTTTATGAAATAAGTTAAAATACATGTGATTTCCAAACTCTGTTTTAGCAACAGAGCACTCCTGGGACAGCCCACACACTGCAGCACAAGGAAGCACAGCGGCTTCAGCATAGGCTGGGGTGAAATGGGCAGCAGAGATCAAGAGCTCCCCCTACTGTCTAGCAATTTCCCATCAGGCTGCCCCAGGGCTCATTAGAACCCATTTCAAGAGCCACCATAATAAAATACACATATGGCCTGGCCGTTTGGCTCAGCGGTTAGAGCTTCAGCCAGAGGACCAAAATAGTCACGGTTCTATTCCGGTCAAGGCACGTGCCTCTGTGGCAGTTCGGTCTGGAGCCCTGGTCAGGGTCGTGCGGGAGACAACCAATAGCTGTGTGTGTGTGTGTGTGTGTGTGTGTGTGTGTGTGTCCCTCCCTTCCTCCCATTCTATCTGAAGATAAATGAAAAAAATATCCTCAGGTGAGGATTGAAAAATAATAATAAAATAACACATGTAACAGCACACTCTGCTGTGCAGAAGAACAGCCCAGAGTGAATTGTTCACAACAGGGAACACTTATCATGTGAAAATAAATAACATAAATGTTTATATTTACCATACAAAAGGTACAGGTAATCAGAGCTGGATTCAGTAGATCACTTAGCTTCCTGCTGGTACCAGTCTTTAAAAGTCATTTTTAAAATGATTTTTAAAAGACTGAATTTTAAAGTCCATATTTAAAAGATCATCCCTGAAAAGTTAATAAGATAGAGGAAAGTATATGGTCCAGAACTCCTTTTAAGTACAGTACTATATATTCTTAGTAAAATATCACTTAGCCATGCCTAAGTAAAACTAGGAGTAAGAAGGGTGACTCCAATTAATTGAGGGCTTTTGTTTTGCTGAATGAAGTCATTTGAGAGTCAGAACCAAACTGTCATGGGCAATCGTGGAAACGCGGCACCTTACCAACTGGTTTTCCATGTGGTACATAACCTCGCCTCTGAATACCAAGCACATATTTAAGAGTAACAAATTGAAATGGTGCAAATCATTAATCTCCCCTGGATGACTGAATGTCTCTATATTGACCCAGTGTCAATATACACTAAAGTGTGACTTGTTCAAAATTTGAATTTGCACAAGTCCAGCACCACCACCTCTATCTATAATTTTAAATGACACATTACTTTCAAGTTGACATGTAGTTTTACCGTCTTAACTAGATTAAGAATTCCGTGAAAGCAAGAGCCATGTCTTTTTCATTTTTGTGTGCTTTGCAAAGCCTAACATATTACCTTACACATAGTGAGATGCTACCCTATTAGATAAATTGTTACTGAATGATTAAATAGCTTCCTCACCAGGCTCTTCAAATTTCACCTGCCCAAGAAATAATTCATTAGTTTCAACTTCAAACCCCACCTCTCCTCCGTCTAATTCTCTAGCATATATCTCACTGTTGGGATAGAAACAATCTTGAACTGTGTTCAGTACTGGAGCAGGCATGATAGCAGACCTGCTGAAGATATTTACATGAGGAAACCTCCCAAAGCCCTTCCCCAAGAAGAGAAGAGCCAGGAAGGTAAGCCGGATTCAGAAAAATAAAAAGTCCTTGTTCATTAGGTGCGAAAAATAATTTTGAGCATATCTTGACGTCTCTTACTCAAACTAGTTACTGGCACAAAATTATGAACTTATGCCTGGATCATCAAGGTATAAAAGTGCATGGGAGAATGTCCTCAGGTGAGGGTTAAAAAAAGTGCATGTGCAAGGGCTTCAGTATGTAAAGAAAGAAAATATTACTTTTGCAGCTGAAAAACTACTGTCTTTGATTTCTGGTAAGATTGAACATTTTTCATAATTTAGCTACTATTTCTTCTGTTTGTTCAGAGTTGTTTGCTCATTTAGCTATTAGATTATTGCTGTTTTCCTTATTAATAATAACATTCTTTAGAAATCCTTACTTCTTTTTTTTTAATCTTCACCCAAGGACATTTTTTCTATTTTTTGTTCAGATAGAGTGGGAGGGAGAGAGAGGAAGAGAGAGAAAGAAACATCGATGTGAAAGGGACACATCAAGTGGCTGCCACCCGCACAACCCAACCAGGGCCAGAGACAAACTGCAACCAAGGTACACTATGCGCCCTTAGTGGGAACCGAACCCGGGTCTCTCTGGACTGCAGGCCAATGCTCTAATCGCTGAGCCAAACTGGCCAGGGCTCTTTCTTTCTCTTTTTATTTCTATTTTATTTTTCCAGTTTTTCCCAGTTTGCATTTAGTTCCTTGTACATGGTCACCTTTGTTAGTTAAATTTTGTATGACATTTTTTTAATGGTTTTGAGCTTACAAAGTTCTCTTCTATACATTTAAAATTTATCTATCTTCTATTTTATTAGTTGATTTTACATATATTATGCTAATATTTTTAAATTAACCCCTAAAATTATCCCATTATGCCAGGATCATTTATGCAATAATTTTAATTACCATCAATTTGAGATTCTACATTTATTATATATTAAATCAAATGTACAGAAGGGTCTGCTTTGAGGATTATTTTGTTCCATAATTCCATCTACTCCTTCCCCTGTACAACATTGGTTAATATTGTATTTTGATAGTGTTTTAATATTTCAGAAGGAAAAAGTCCCATTACTTTTCCTGAAAAAATTAGTGTCTCACCTTTCAGATATATTTTATGATTAATTTGCCAAGTTATGTTAAAACAATTTGTTGAGAAGAAACTGCTCACTTGGAAGCATTCGACCTCCCATCCAGAAGAAAAGCTCATTTCTCCATTTGTTTATCTTGAGGTAAATAGAACCACACACCTTTTCTGGAAATTACACCTTCAGATGATGGCATATGATAGTTGCTAGGGATATTTTCCACTTTTTCAAGGTAAGAAAGACTCCTCTCAACAAAATATCTGAATAGGGATGTAGTTGGTGATTTTCTGAATTCAAAGTCAGAAACTGGAGTTTTTATTTCATGATAAGATCTGAAAACTAGGAGCCAAAAAAAGAAAAAAAAAAAGTTTAATGGGAAACTAGAAGAAGAAAAATCAAAGTCCAAAGTCCAAATTTGTAGTTATCAAATTTCAGTTTGCAACCAGATGGTTGCAAACCATCTGGGGACTATTTAATAGACACTCAACAAACAATTTCTTTATATGGAATTGAGATATTTTCTAAGTACTTTCTTGGGGAAATTTGTGTCTGTCGTGCAAGCATACGTGTGTGTGTGTGTGTGTGTGTGTACAGGATCTTGAATCTGAATCAAAGACAAAAATGATTTCTGATCATGATAAAGTTTATTCCACCAGGGGTACCAGTGTATGTTTCTAAATTTAACAGCATAGGGATTATGTTCCTAATCCATTTTTCTTAAATCTTCCTTTCTCCATTCCAAATTATATCTTTATGACTTGCAGAATAAGTTATTTTCATGTTTCTTTTCTTGAGAGAAAAACACCTTCACTCCTTCAGTTCATGCTTCTCAGGTTCCCCTATCTAGGCTAAGAACCATGGTTCTAAAACAGGGCCCAAATCAATCAAGATACTATTTACTCAGAGAGAGAATGTGCCACATCCCACGCAGATATATGGAACTTCATTTTCTCTTTCTTTTCTCCCACAAGTTTAAACAAAAAATAAAAATGCCAGCAATCACACTCAAGGTATGCACACTGAATAACACCACTTTTACTTGGCTCAAGCTTTTACACAAAGAAACCCAGAACATGCTTATTCCTTTTTTCTCTGCATGGTACTCTGAGTCAGAAGTGCAAACACAAGAAGGCTCCTACCAGGCTTATTTCATTCATTCTGTGGTGTACTTTGCTACTTACTACTTAATACTTCTGTGAAATGGCATTATTTTCTTTCCAAGGCTTACTCTAACTTAGCTTAATAATGGCCAAGTCCAATATAGTTCATTCTAAATAATCTATTGTATAAGCTTTACGAATAGAGAACCAAAGAGGTAGTCATAACTGCCCTGCACCCTGCACCATCTCCACTTTCTCCTCAAATGAGATTTTAATCCAAGGAATCTTGAATATATACTCTCATCACAAGCACTTTTTGTTTTTTAATTCTGTTTTATTTGCCTTTCAATGTCCCTTAGGTTTAGAGAAATTGGCTGAGATTTGAATATTGTAAATTAAGATAACAGGGTATATAAACAAAATTATATATTAACAGCCCTGTAAACTCAGAGATCTTAATGTTCTGGCCCTACTAATTTAACTCCAAATATTGTAGAAATCAATCGGATAGGTCTATTCAATGTGGTGACTAGAGGTTGGAGAAATAAAAGAGCTAATCATTAGCTCTGATTATCAAGAGCTAACCATTCCAAACTTCAGTGTTTCAAATATGTTATTAAATATTACTTGGAAATAATCACATTTATTTATTAATAATTAGATACTTCATAAATACAAAAATTTCCTATCTAGGACTTCCCCTCACTACACTTAACATTAGTTAAGTAATTCCTTAACTAATGCATCAATAGATTGTATTCAGTTACCCGCATTTCCACACACTGATTTCAAGTTTCATAAAAATAATTGGTTTGAAAAACTTGTGGAGTTTTCTGAGGAATTCCTTACATGGCATATAGATACTCTGTTATTCATGAAGTAAAGGATTTCTTGGTCAAATCTATGCAGACAGCAGATATTTTTTAAGATGTTTACAACCAAATTCAATAAATGTCTTGAAAATTTACCATTTTATTTTTCAGAGATCACATCTGAAATATGGCTCAGAGCGACTTTCTCTACCCAGAGAACCCAAGGAGGCGGGAAGAAGTAAACCATCTTCACCAACAGCTCCTTGACTGCTTATCTGACAGTTTCCATGCCACCAATGAGCTGATTGGAGTTTTAAATACACATTTGGGGTGCAGGCTGGCTTCCATTGAGATGAAAAGAAATGGGACCATCAAAGAAAACTGTGATATCATCATCCAAGCCGTGATGAAAATCCAAAATGAATTGCAAAAGGTTGATGAAGCACTAAAAGATAAACTAGAGCCAACCCTTTATAGAAAACTTCAGGATATTAAGGAAAAGGAAACAGAGAAAATTGCAATCGTACAAAAGGTTATTTCAGTCATCCTGGGAGAAGCTACTTCTGCAGCCAGTGCAGTGGCTGTTAAACTTGTGGGTTCAAATGTCACAACTGGCATAATTAACAAGTTGGTCACTGTGTTGGCTCAAATTGGTGCTTCTCTCCTTGGTAGTATAGGAGTTGCTGTTCTTGGCCTTGGCATAGATATGATCTTCCGTGCCATCCTGGGAGCAGTGGAGAAAACACAGCTACAAGCAGCCATCAAAAGTTATGAGAAGCATCTGGTGGAATTCAAGTCAGCCTCAGAAAAATATCATCATGCCATTACTGAGGTCACCAACACAGTGAAACACCAAATAAAATAAACAGCCACCTTATTTGCCACTGGAATATTTTCTGCTTCTCTTTCAAAGATAGTGTTTGGTTTCTTGGATTAGGTTCATTTTCCATAAGCTTCCATCATAGACATACAGTAAAAAAATTGGAAAGAGAAATTAGAGATGCTAAAACTAGATGACTCTTGAGTTTTGCATCATCAATGAACGCCTGGATCAGCTGGTGCTAGACTATGTCAGTTATCCCAGGATGTCTTCTTACTCTGCTCTCCAGGTCAATATTAGGGTACAGTCATCCCTCGCCACTCCACATTTTGACTTTTTGTGGCTTCACTCTATCACGGTTTTTTCAAATACTATACTATATGTACTTCGTAATTTCTACCTAGACACAAAAACCCTGGGTCTTTGAATGGAATAGAAACACTACCATAATTTCGACCATCCATTTTAAATCCAATATTCTGTAAACTGGAAAAGACTGAAATATGGTTTGTAATAATTTACTACAGTGATGAAAGGAGGCAATGGTTCTGTAAACTTCTAATTACATACTATAATCTAAATGGATTTTTGACAGATAAAAGTTAAAATTGAAAAGATAAAGGTTTGGTTTCTATAACTGCAATCAACCCTGACCAAGTATGATGTGTTAATTAAATATCTCTCAAGTGAATGTTCGAACACTAACATTTTTTAAAGCAAATCCCAGATATACATGCATAAAATGCATTAGAACGCAGGAGAGGAAGTAGCTACTCTTTCAAGAATTTGTCACTCGCCCTGGCCAATTTGGCTCAGCAGTTAGAGCATCCACCTGCATACCAAAGTCTCGGGTTCTATTCTGGTCAAGGGCTCGTACCTTGGTTGTGGTTTGGTCCCCAGCCCTGGTTGGAGTCATGTGGGAGGCAACCAATCCATGTGTCTCTTTCACATTGATGTTTCTCTCACATTGATGTTTTTCTCTCTCCCTCCCTCCCTCCCTCCTTCCCACTCTATCTGAAGATAAATGGAAAAATATCAAGTGAGGATTTAAAAAAAAAAAAAAAATGTCACTCAGAGGAAGTCACCATTGATTACCTTATGAGTTTTCAGAAAAAAATAAATTTCATTTTCAATACTAGCAGAAAGGAGAAAGTTGCCCTTGCTATAAAGCTTTAGGTAGCCCATTTCATTAGCGACTTAATTTCAGAAAAATCTAGAGGTTATGGAGGCCTAAAGGTTCAGTTAAATTTCAGCAGATAGAAGTGTTTGTTTTCTAAATCCTGCACCAACTAATAACTCCCCTCTGAGACTCTTAGATTATACTTACAAAATTATTAGTAAGCTGTTGATGCAAGAATGTGTTTATTATAGTTCTTACAACCAAGTTCAATAAATGTCTTAAAATTTAAAAAGCTCAGCATATCACAAAAATTAAAAGCTAGATGAAATACTTTAATTTTTCAAAAGTACTAATTTTCGCCTCTTCCATCATTGCTTTTAATATTAGTTATAAAATATCACAATTAGTTCACCTTCAATATTAAATTTTTGTTGTTTGTTGTTTGATTTATAAACTACTAGATCTTTTTACTGTTCTGACACTCAAAAATCAGTCTAAAATCAAATCAATGATATCCTAAGACAAAGGTTAGTTTAGGTAAAGGACCAATCTTAAACGGTTAAGTGCACATTTGAATTTTCTGCTAAAAATTAATATGTATCTCCAGCAGTATTTTAGAACATTTATAATAGATTGATTGTAGGAATTGGCCTTTATCTAACATATTATCCTATAAGGGATATTCAGATTAAGATCAGAAATAAACCAGTTGTCCTGTAAGGGGGGAATTTTTAAATATTTAAATTACCTTTAGGGGGAAAGACTGGAGAGGAGTCTTGGAGAAAGAGCGGATAGAAGAGAAAGAAAGAATCTTCGAAGACTAGAGTTTAGGGAATAATCCGGTAGGCACAGTGACATCATAGAGGGCTTCTGGCTGGCAACCTCGCCTGTCGCAAATTCAAAACTGACAGCACAAGTATGCCCACACCTCCTTTCAAAGAAAAGTAAGCCTGCGTGTAGATTGGCAATCTGGGACTCGACTCTGGGCACCGATTTACTCAGCTCTACAAAGGTTCTGTGTGTCCGTAAACAACTACTGAACTTCCAGACGGACCCGATGCTAGCAAAACACACCGAATACAGTAGCAAATATTACCCGGGGATTCGTTTTCAAACACACACGCCCAAAAGATCGCACTAAATTACGTCATAAAAAAAAAGGGGGGGTAGGGGCGGTGAAAATCCCAAAACTAACACAACTCCAGGACGCAGAAACTCCCCTGCCTAGAATCCACGGGTCTAGCTCCACGCAATAAATTAAGCACCCGGAATTGGTCAGAATGCCTTTTTTCACCAGCCAATCATATATCCGAGCTGCTTCATTTTTCTTATTTCTATTGGTCTACATAAGTGTCGATCAACGTGGTGTCTTTGTACTACGTAACACTAGGGCGGGCTCTTAGCAGATAACCAGCCAATTGGGTTCTGTATTGGAGCGGAATAGACTCTGGCCCTGGAGTTCTTGGTTACTCTCTGTATTGCCAGGGTGGAGAAATGCTGAGACCTGGGGCCCGCAGGGATAGGAAGTGACGTAGCGATGGTGGAGGGGCGCGAGGTTTCAAGATGGCGGTTGCTGGATAGCTGACCGGGAGCCGAGGTGCAGGCCCTTAGGAAGTGAAACAGGCCGAGAATCGTCCCCTCCCGGCTTCTCGCAGTCCCAGAGCCCAGCAGAAGTGTGAGTGTGCGAGACTGTTCCGGTCGGATTCTTCAGCGTTCGCGTCCCTTTCTGAGGCCCACGCGGTTGCCTCGGGGACAGTAGGCCCCTTAGCCCCGCTCTTCCTCTCCGCGGTTGGGGTCTCCCGGGTCGCGGACTGGGGGAATCCCCGAGCCTGGGGCCGAGCGGCGACCGGCGGTTCAGCGTCCGACTTCGTCCGGGTCGCTGAGCGCCGCCTCCTGTCTGTTCGCGGTGATTGGTAGGTAGGCTTAGGTTTGATGTTTGGACCTCGAGTCAGGGTCAACCGTCGCTATGGTTTCGGCAGTTGCTGCCGCGGTTGCCCTAGTGGGAGTGGGCTCCGTCCCACGGAAGCCTCGTTGGCTGCTTACAGTTCCCTCGTGGTTTTGAGGCCCGATTTCCTTATCGCCTCCGCTTTGTGGCCAAAAAGTAGTCTGCACAAGCCAAGGCCCCAGTGTCTTCTATGGAATTTTTCCGTAATTCATGTTCTGGTTCAGTTTGGGAAAGGTGGGTCAAAACCAGAGCCCGAGGGTGGTTGAGAGAGGAAAGCAAAAGAGATACTGGCCATCAGAGAGGCGAGAGCTTGTGTAGGTACTGAATTTGCCTGCTCCCCCTGCCTTCTCCCCCTCCCAGTTTTTCGGAGAAGGAAACCCTTCCTTAACAGGGTCCGTTAGCTGCCATTGGGACAGCCTTAACGCGTTTAGCAGAAGTCAAGCAATTAAACACTTGCCGAAAGAGGCATTGACTAATAATGTCTGATAAAATCTTCATAAAGAAGGAAAGGTATTGTATGGTCTACCAAAAATTTTACCTCTGGCCTATAACTTCCCTAGGAAAAGGTTTTTCTTTCTTTTAAACAAACCCTGTTCATTGTTTGTATGCATCTAGGTTAACATACTTTTGAATTGCTTCTTTTTCAGACCTCTCAGAGGCTTAAGGACCTGTTAACTATCCTGTAACCCAGTCATAGGTATCCCCCCCACCCTACCCCTTGCTTTCTCCCATCTTCATGTAACCTGTCATAGGTATCCCCACCCCACCCCCTTGCTTTCTCCCACCTTCATGTAACCTGTCATAGGTATCCCCACCCCACCCCCTTGCTTTCTCCCACCTTCATGTAATCTGTCATAGGTATCCCCACCCCACCCCCTTGCTTTCTCCCACCTTCATGTAACCTGTCATAGGTATCCCCCCCACCCTACCCCTTGCTTTCTCCCATCTTCATGTAACCTGTCATAGGTATCCCCACCCCACCCCCTTGCTTTCTCCCATCTTCATGTAACCTGTCATAGGTATCCCCACCCCACCCCTTGCTTTCTCCCATCTTCATGTAACCTGTCATAGGTATCCCCACCCCCTTGCTTTCTCCCATCTTCATGTAATCATTCTTACATTCCCTCCTTAATCCCAAAGGTATACAAGGGACTGCAAAACTGTCATTATCCAGAGCATTTTTGAGATCTTATTGCCAGGCAGGTCATCAATTTGGCTCAGATAAGCTCTAATTCACTGTTATATAAATTTTCCACAGGTTTGGACATTCTTGTGTTGATAACTGGATTTTCTTTTTTAAATGAACAAGTGAACCATACAGATTGTCAACATGGGACGAAGATCTACATCATCCACCAAGAGTGGAAAATTTATGAACCCCACAGACCAAGCTCGTAAGTATCCATTAATGTGCATGATGAAGAAGGGAAGTGGTAAAAATTGCAAGCATTAGGGAATCTGTTTCATGATGTCCTAATTATAAGATCAGCAGTGCTAGGAGTCAGTGGTATGAAGTTGTCCAATGTTCTTGTGGTGCACGATTAAAACATCAAACATGCAGAAAAATTCACACCCATATTTCTGATTTCATTGACTTGCAAAGTAGAATTGGCTTAAAGCTTTCTTTTTGTATTTGGAATTTTGAACAAATTAGTTTTGCAAGTTCTTGTTTAATATTTTGTGACATCTTTTTTCTTCAGGTTCCTAATTATTTTTAAGAAAACAAAAAATTGTTGACATTTTTTAGTTGACAAAATTATATGGGTTCTAGTGGCATCCAGTAGGTAGAGACCAGGGATGCTGCTAAATATCTTACATAATAACGAATTGTCTGTGTTGAGAAAAATGCTGTAATAGGGGTCACGAAGTGAAAGGCTTATATTCTCTCTCTCTCTCTCTCTCAAGGAAAGGAAGCCCGGAAGAGAGAATTAAAGAAGGTATGATTTCAGATGCATCAAATTAGCTATAAGTGTTGTTTGGCACATCTTATTATTTGGGATTAGTGGATTTCAAACTAACATTTTCAGTTATTTGCTACAAAATATACTTTATGCTTTTTATATCAAGCCATAAATTTAATCCAAAATACTATACAGATGCTTCTTGACTTAAGATAAGGTTACCGTTATATCCCGATAAATCCATCATAAATTGAAAATATCTTAAGTCAAAATGCTTTTAATACACTTAACCTACCAAACAACATAGGTTAGCCTACCTGACCATAAACATGCTCATAACACTTACAATAGCCTACAGTGGGGCAAAATCATCTCACTGCTGCCCAGCATCATGAGAGACTATTGTACTGCATATGGCTAGCCCAGGAAGAGATCAGAATTTGAAGTACAGTTTCTACTGAATGCGTGTGAAAGTCAAACCATGGTAAGTTGGGGATCACCTGGACTTGGAAACTGAATTAAGTAAGCCTGCAGATAAGCTCACAGTGGGTGGTTATTACATTGTTTATTACATTTTCCAGTAAGTTAAATAAATACTTTTGCAAGTAACTCTTTTTTGTTCGTTATTAAAACATACTACTTTGTTAATAGCTACTGAATTAGTGAATGAAAATAAATGTGATGCTAAATAGCTTTGTGCATTCATTTTCCTGGTATGTAGCTGTTGAGTTTGAGATAAAGTGCTTCCCAGAATAAGGAAGGATTTACTTTTTAGTATCATGCCATAACATGTTGAGAAAACTTAGATTTTTTTTAATCGTTTCTAATTGTGTATGCTTGTTGCATTGTTTAGCATTAAATTCTGCAAAACTTTTTTCTGGTATATAATTTTAGAATTTAGCTGAAACCTTTGTTTATTTTTAAAAAGCTAAAATATTTTAAGTAGCTGCTTTTAGATCACAGATATATGCCTCGGAAAGCACATCTGATAAATAACATTTACTTTTTAATATAAAGTTGAAACATTTTTGAGAGTAAAAAATTACACAGTTCTGTTTCTGGTGGTTAAAACAAGTGATCAGAAACCAAGAAGTTCAGCCTCAGTTTAAATAGATTCTTGAAGCAGATTGAAATAAATACTTAAGAGTGTCCAGCTTCTTGACACACTGCTCTTTCTTTTTTCTAAGAACAAAAAACAGCGCATGATGGTACGAGCTGCGGTTTTAAAGATGAAAGATCCCAAACAGATTATCCGGGACATGGAGAAATTGGATGAAATGGGTAAGAATTTATAAAGGCTAGATTTTGTGACAGGGATAGCAGTCTGATACACAGAGACAGGCAAGCAGATTATGAGTGAAGTAGCACAGACATAAGAAAAACTTAAAGCATGGTGGCATTTGACACTTGAATTTAGTTTTAATATCAGAAAGCAAAATGGAGAGGTGGGGAGTTACTGCAAACTGAAGAGCTTATCCAGAATAAGAGGGAAGTCATTTAGCTTGAGCTAATTGTTGTTTGAGGTAATGAACACCCATTTTGGCCACCTCATTTTACAAGAGAATACAGAAATCTGCCTTCTGAAATCATCTTGGGGTTTTTTGTTTGTCTTGTCTGTTTTTTAATGCTGGCAACTACTGTATAAATCTGTTAGGCCACCAAGATTATATTCGTTTTCCCATTTTTACAAGATCCAAAGATGCTTGACCACTTAGTAAGGATATAACAGAAATCATGAAATACTTAACATCAAACACCATATTAGGATTCTTCCTCTCCCCTTCTTTCACATTTCGTAGAATTAATTTTATTCACTCTTTATATGCATCGTCAATATCACTGCTTTGTCATAACTGGAATCACATGAGGTAACTGCATGTTATCTTTCCTTGTATCGAAGGTAGATAGAGAACCATGTGGGGTGCTGCCACTAGAAATTTTATCCCAAACCACAAATACCTGTTTTCTTAACATTGGAACATGGGATTTTTTAATTTTTCTTTTTTTAATAGAAATTTTCTAGCATGCAAAATTAAATAGTCAAGTTAACTCCTATGTGCTTTTCAGCTGTCAGGTTTTTGCCAATTCTGTCTTCTGCCTCCTGCCACTTTTTAAAATTACATATTAAGGTAGTCTTTATAAGTTCTGTTTACAAAGTTACCCAAATGTTTCTGTGGTTTGCCCAAAAACAGTAAATGAAAGAGGTAGAGTGGGTCTCCTCAATGCATTAAATGGGGTTCCAAAAAAATCCAGTTGTGTGTGGGTGCAGTATTATAAGCTTTCTAAAGTTATGTGACAGAGACTGGGCACTAACCTGGGCAACAGTTCTGGGTCAGGCTGTATGAAGCCAAATCTTTCCCAGTTCATTTGTAACTGATCCACTTGTTGCCTCTGGTCTAAATCCAGTAAGGACAAATGCTGTCCCTAGAGCATCAGAGTATTACCTATTAAATGATCCTCCATTGATTTATGTGGTTACTCACACTACAGATACTGTGGTGTAAGACTATAGCTTCTGGTTTTGAGTAAATTGCCAAGATTAATAGTTAATGGGATTTAGGGAAGAGGATAATTAAACTTGTTATTCTTTACAAAAAAAAAGGAAAAAGGAGAAAGGAACATTGTTTATCCGCACTCTAATTACAGTTTATAAAATTTAGTACAAACTAGTTTGAGCAGAAAATATACAGTGACTGCCATAATTTGGAAATCCCAGCGAGAAGCTGGCCTCAAAGACCCAGATATCATTATCAAGCCTGTTTGTGTCTCTGGTCGTTGTCTGAATTTCTTGGGAAGGGCGGTAGAATATGTATGGGAGTGTAGTGGTAGTTGGGGGACAAGGCCACAGATAGCTCTAGGTTTATTTCATCCCTGTTTGTGAGAGCTTCTGTCTCAAACATTTACATTTAAAAACCTCAGGCAGGAATCTGGTCCAAGTTTGGATCGTGTGCCATTTGATCTCTGAGTCAGTCGCTGGCAAGGGTAATGGAGGGGGCAGGTATGATTGACCAGGCAGGCCTGAGATCCTTGTGCTAATCCCTGTTGGGACAGAGGACCTGAAATTGAGGCCCATGTTGAACACATGGAAAGAGAAGGTTATATGGTAGCTAGGCGAAGAACACCACGCCATTATAAAAATAATAGGTGATGAGCCAGACATTGTAGATGTTTTTTTGTGATCTCATTTAATCATCAGATGTTCATTGGGAAGTGGATGATGTCCCCATTTTGCAGATGAAGAAGCTGAAAATAAGAGAATTTAAATAAAGTGCCCAAGATCTCAATTAAATGACAGAACCAGTGTAGTACCAAAACCTAGGTCTCTAGCATAGTGGAGTGAAAACTTATTTTCATTATAATGATGAAAATTAATTAGGTGACATTTCTTAGGAAAGTAAAATTAATGGCCATCCTTAAAAGGTGGAATTTTTATAAGTATTTATTACAGTTCTTTAGGAATTGAAGAATATATTTGGTGTCTAGCCCCTTTTAAAAAGGTTAACATATAAGTTTTTTATTAGTGATACAGTCTGTTGACAACCTAAATGAAATGACTTGTGTTTATTTCCGTAATCTGCTCTTTTCTCTTAGAGTTTAACCCAGTGCAACAGCCACAGTTAAATGAGAAGGTGCTGAAAGACAAGCGTAAGAAGCTGCGTGAAACCTTTGAGCGTATTCTACGACTCTATGAAAAAGAGAATCCAGATATTTACAAAGAACTTAGAAAGCTAGAAGTAGAATATGAACAGAAGAGGGCTCAACTTAGCCAATATTTTGATGCTGTGAAGGTATCCAAGTTTTTTTTGAAAGAGAAACTAAAGTGTTATATTTGGATTAGCTCTTAAACTTGTTACTAGAACTGATTGTTGAACCACTTTCTCTCGGCAATTTCTTGTCAAACTGAACATAGACAAGAAATTAATCCATCTGCCAACACAGTAATAGCGAAAAACTGGAAACTGCTCAGGTATTTTTAAAATTCAAAAACAAAACGTACTGAACAACTTCTGTAGTTAATTTGTATGAAATTGTAGAACAGGCAAAAAATTTGTAACAGCAGTTGCCTTGGGATAGTGCTAGGGATTGACTGGGAATGAGTATGAAGTATATGCATTTGTCAGAACTCATTGAATTTGTATGTCATTGTAAATTTGTTTCAAAATAAAAATGTAAACCGAATGCTATAATTTTTGTAAAGTAGTTATTATGAGTCCTATTTATAGAAAAAGAAAACTAAAATGACTTACTTGGTCATGTAGTTAATATGTGGCAGAAACTCATCAAAGGTAGACTAATTTTAGAGCCCAAGCTCTGCCACTGGAAATACACTGAGTTAATTGATACGTGTTATTTATCACCCAGGATATTAAATAGGGTGGCTTTGGTACTAGATACTTTGACAGTTATACTTTTCTAAATAGCAGCTATTTCAAACCCTAACCAAAAAAGATTTATTGATACTAGAGAGAGAAAAACAACCGAATTTGATTCTTTTAGAAGACGTAGGTTTTTTTCAATTCATTGACATACTGGAAATACTGATGAAGCTTGTTATACTTGTCTTTTTGTGATATTTGTTTTAAGTGAAAAGCAAATCCAAGTTATAAAGCAGCTGACATTGAATTTTTAGTGTTGAGTTTGTGGACTACTCTTATCCTACTAGTGAAAGATTTCTCTCTGTTTCAGAATGCTCAACATGTGGAAGTGGATAGTATTCCTTTGCCAGATATGCCGCATGCTCCTTCCAACATCTTGATCCAGGACATTCCACTTCCTGGTGCCCAGCCACCCTCCATCCTTAAGAAGACCTCAGCCTATGGGTAAGTGGTAGCATAATCAAAGAGCATGTATTAAAAGCACCTCCTAACTATCTGCAGCCAAAATTAATGAAGTGGGAAATAAAGGACAACATGTAAATAAATATAAGCCATGTCTAATTTTATTAGAAATTTAAAAATCCCTTGAAACTTGTTTAGAAGAGGATGTAAATGCCACTGTTAACATGATTACTGTAAAATGTTCTTTACAGACCTCCAACTAGGGCAGTTTCTATTCTTCCTCTTCTTGGACATGGTGTTCCACGTTTGCCTCCTGGCAGAAAACCTCCGGGTCCACCCCCTGGTCCACCTCCTCCTCAAGTCTTGCAAATGTATGGCCGTAAAGTAGGCTTTGCCCTAGATCTTCCCCCTCGTCGGCGAGATGAAGATATGTTGTATAGTCCTGAACTTGGTAAGGAGTGCCTGTTCCTTTTGCTCTTACAACCTTTCCACTATCATTTTTGAAGTTGGCCCTGTTTTGCATCTTGTTCACCATCCTTAGAACTTGGGAGATAAATGAGGATACCGTATACATTCTAACAGATGGATAAATCCTAGGATCTACCCAAGTAAAAACATACATAACGAAATATAGAAATGTTTCTTGTGGTTTTGGGGTTTGTTTTTTAAATTTGGCTATTCTTAGAAATGCCACTTACTACCAGTTCCCTACGATTTGGCTATCTGTTTCCCTTTCAGCTGTGTCATCAGACTAGAGTATTATCCTATACAGTCGCAGTAATGGTGTATATTTGTGTGTGACAGCTTTCTGGGTGTGATTTTAATTTTTTAAACTATTGCCAAATGAAAATATCAGACTGCCTGAATAGCTGAGATCTACACAGAAATTTTTAAAACAATTAGATTATTGTGTTATATAATGAGCATGATTTTCTGTGTTTCGGGGTACCATGTAATGGCGGATCTAGTCATATTACTTGTTCCCTGCTCCCTTTTCAGCTCAGCGGGGTCATGATGATGATGTTTCCAGCACCAGTGAAGATGATGGCTATCCTGAGGACATGGATCAAGATAAGCATGATGACAGTACTGATGACAGCGACACTGACAGATCAGATGGAGAAAGTGAAGGGGATGAGTTTGTGCACCGTGATGATAATGAAAGAAACAACAATGAAGAAAAAAAATCAGGTATGTGCAGATGAAAATTCCATAACGATCAGTAAATAGGATACAAGCTGAAGGTCCTGATTATTAATGCATCTGTAGAAGTAGTTGTGAGCTCCTTGAACAGAAGGATCATATCTGTGTTCATCTTTAATCTCAGCTATCTCAAAGTTCTTAACACATAGTAAGTACTAATGGATGTTAAAAAAAATTAAGCAGTATATGTAATAAAGTTCACTTTTGAGGGGAAAGATAATAGCTGTTCAGCAGCATAAAGATGGACTCTCATGGTTATGTCTAGGAAAGAAAGGGGGGAAACCATATTCATATTGTTGTTTTTTCATAAGTCTATTTGAATATCTACATTTAAAACCTTTTAAATTATGTGTGATCATGGTATATTACATGAACCAGAACCGTAATTATAATGGAGGTATGCCTTTGAGTGGAGTCATGACATAATGGAAACATTATATCCATAATGTACGTTATGTGTTTGATTATTATAAATTCAGACTGAGTTACATGTACTTTTAAAAAGTACTCATGACATTCAGGAAAATTTTAATCATTGTAATAGGTACTGAGCAATACAAAATGTATAATGCGTCACACCCCAGTAGTCTTGGAGCTTCTTTTAGAATTGTTTTTGTAGCCTACAACTCAATATTTATGTATTAAAGTACTGCCAATAGTAGTATTTATATTTATGACAATTTTTTCTCCTACTTCTTAAGAATTATGGTTGCAAATCAGAAAGCAAGTTTAAAAGGGTATGTAGAGCTAGTAATGAAAACTTATGGAGGACTCTTACATGGAAGTCAGTACTAGGAAGTAGAAAGCCCTTAAAGCCACAGCATCTCCATTTCTTTTAGGTCTGTGTGGACTTTGCTTCATTTTTCTCTTTCTGACAACTGATTTTTTTAACATGTACTCATCAGTGCACATTTGCTGAAAATGGCTGTCCTGTGATTCAACATTCATTCAGCTAATATTTATTGAGTTTTTACTATAAGGCATTTTTGCAGATGCTAAGGATGTGAAAAAAAACTAAACCTATGCACACATGGAACTCTTATCTTTTTGTAAATGTTTACCGAATAAGAATGCTCCTAACATTGCTTCATTTAGTTGAAAAGCATCTAGTGAGTAGCCTTTTTGTCAGTTAAGAAGTTCCCTTCTAGTCCTAGTTTGCTAAGAGCTTCAATCATAAATACCTTTTAAGCATCTGTCGGGATGTTTTTATGGTTTTTAAGTTTATTGTAATTAATTGCATTATGACTTTTCTAGGGTAAAAGGCGAAAGATTTTTACATTATAGCTTTTCTAATGTTAAACTATCTTGCATTTCTAGAACCAATCTTACATGTTTACAATTTTCTTTTTTTTAAACTGTCAGATTCAATTTGCTTATATTCTGTGTTGGCCAGTAGGTTAGCTTTGTTAATCAGTAGTATGCCAGCTTCGTGAGCTCTGGATAGCATTCCATCCTTTCCTATACCCTTTTACAGGACATTTCTGTAATGTAATGTTCAGCTGAATTTCCTTGTAAAATTATTTCAGCCAGGTGCCTTTTAGTGAGTAGATCTTTGACTTCCATTTCATTTTTGTTTATTCTGGTCTTACCACTTCTTTGACAGATTTTAGTAACTTACATTCTTCTAACAAACTTGTCTATTATTTTTATCTGGGTGTTCAATTTTATTGAACATAAAGATATTATTAGGCCCTGGCCAGTTTGGCTTAGCAGTTAGAGCATCATCCTGAGGACCAAAGGGGCTTGGGTTCAATTCTGGTCAAGAGCACATACCTGGGTTGTAGGTTTTATCCCCAGCCCTGGTCTGGGTCATGCAGGAGGCAGCCAGTTGATATGTCTCTCTCACATCAATGTTTCTCTCTCTCCCCAACCCCCTTCCACACTCTAAAAATTCCATGGAGAAAATATCCTCAGGTGAGGATTAACAACAACAACAGAAAAGATGTTATTAATATTCTTGAATTTTTGTGTTTTTTTTAATCACTTTTAAATCACTACAGCATGTATTTACCACTAGTTGGCACTTTATTTACTACCTTTAATATGGTTCTCTCTTTCTGCGCTCCTGCCAAGTTTTACAGGAAATGGACAGGCAGCATTTGTGTCTAGTAATTCATAGTATTGGTTATAAATAATAAGCATTTTATTGATGCCAGTTCACCCTCCTCTCCCTCCCTCCTCTGCCTTCTTAGGTTTGAGTGTACGATTTGCAGATATGCCTGGGAAATCAAGAAAGAAAAAGAAGAACATTAAGGAGCTGACTCCTCTTCAAGCCATGATGCTTCGAATGGCAGGTGCGGCAGGGAAAGAGTAGTGAATCACCTTTTGGTATTTCTCTTTTTTGGTATTTTCTCATGCTAGTAGCTTTACACATGTTTTCCCATTTAGTATCCCAGCAATAACTAACAAATCCCTGAAATAACTAACAAATCCTCGTTTTACAAAAGGTATGATTTGGATAAATTAAAGTGCCCAAAGTTATACACAGCTGGTAAGTGGTTGGACTGGCCTTCAAACTCAGGTCTCTCCGGTTCTAAAGCCTGGTCCACTATGCTGCACCAGATAGATGAGTGGAATATTGTTTGATTCTTCCACATCTTAAGAATGTTGTTGAAGAAGACTGATTGTTAATGTTAAGAAAGCATTTATTGAGCATGTATCTTCAGGCATCACTCTTACAAGCTATAAAAAATAAATCAACTCCACTTACTTGGTTTAACATTTCTTTCAGGTCAGGAAATCCCTGAGGAGGGACGAGAAGTAGAGGAATTTTCAGAGGACGATGATGAAGGTGATTCTGATGATTCTGAGGCAGAAAAGCAATCACAAAAGCAGCATAAAGAGGAATCTCTTTCTGATGGCACATCTGCTGCTTCACAGCAACAAGCTCCCCCACAGTCTGTTCCCCCTTCTCAGATACAAGCACCTCCCATGCCAGGACCACCTCCCCTTGGGCCACCTCCTGCTCCACCTTTACGGCCACCTGGACCACCTACAGGCCTTCCTCCTGGACCACCTCCAGGTAAGCATTTACATAGTATGGATAAAGAATTAAGTCTACATGTGAGTGATAGGTGTTAATCAAGTCTTTGGCTTAAAAATATAAAAGGTTTATTTACAATATTAAACAGCATATAGAACTTCTTGGCTCTTTATGATTTTATTCCTTCTCTACAGCCAATTAAGACTGATTCAGTTGAATTCATCTTTTTCCTGTTGGTCCAAAGTAAAATGACCTATCTTATGTTGTTCTCAGTTGTCCTTGTCTTTATCTTAATGAGTCTCAGGAGATCATTAAGCACTTTACTTTATAGTCCATTTTCATCTCATATTGGAATCATTCAAGAATTCTTCTCACCCTGGCCAGTTTGGCTCAGCAGTTGGAGTGTCGGCCTGCGGATCAGAGAGTCCCGAATTTGGTTCCTACTAAGGGCATATACCTCGGTTGTGGTTTGTCCCCAGCCCCAGTTGGGGTTGTGTGGGTGGCAGCCAGTCGATGTGTCTCTCTCACATCAATATTTCTCTCTCTGTCCTCCTCCCGCTCTATCTGAAGATAAATACAAAAATGTTCTCGGGTGAGGATTTAAAAAAAAGAATTCTTCTCATTTTTTATGTTTACAGCCCAACTGAGTTGTGATTGAGTATCCTTTTTGTCAGTGCTGGGAAATAAGCAGGTCATCCGTAAGAGATTTAGTACCCTATCTCTGCTGCTCAGACATTTGTTGGATGAATTCTGTTTCCATACATTTCAATGAGTTTAAAGTTACCTGATTTCAGGTTGAAGTGATAACTCGAACCACATCTGAATTTCCTTTATTTGTACCATAGTTACTACTTCTTGTATATTTGTTTGACATTAATTTATTATTATTTTCTTTTCAGGAGCTCCTCCATTCCTGAGACCACCTGGAATGCCAGGACTCCGAGGGCCTTTACCCCGACTTTTACCTCCAGGACCACCACCAGGCCGACCCCCTGGCCCTCCCCCAGGTCCACCTCCAGGTCTGCCTCCTGGCCCTCCTCCTCGGGGACCCCCACCAAGGCTACCTCCCCCTGCACCTCCAGGTAAAGTTTTTGATTTCCATTGCAAACATTTGTCTGTTATAGGTATGGCAAAAGTAAATTTATAGTTGTGACTATGGGAAACAGTTTATTCTTTTTATTATTAATTATATTATTTTCCATACTAACAACTGTAAACCTAGTAGGTTTACGATTTCATTTGCTCTAGGACATATTTTTACATTGCAGTAATCTGAAATGAAGAGGAATCTTAAAATGGTGTTTTGTAATTGCTATTAGCCTGGGTTAAACTTGAGTTCTTCCATGGAGTGTTTGCTTTGATTCTACCTGTCATTTGAGGGACTTTTTCCAGTTAGCGGCCACTTTGGATTAAACTCTCCATTTGAGTTTTTTAGGTCTTCACTTATAACTGTAGTGATTCATACATTTGCATAAGTACCAACTTAAAGTTTAAAATCACAAGGGAAATTTTTTTTCCTCAACCCAATATCAGTGCTGGATATGCAGATTTCCTTCTCTTTTGTTATGTGTGACTGCTATATTTTTGGTGTACTACATTGACTGTTCCAGTTTAATATGAAGGTCTTTTAAGCCCCCAATTTGGACCTTTTTTTCTCTCTCTCAGTTGTATGTGGAATACTTACGAGTTTGTATAAGCTGTAACATCTTAGATTTGATAAAATTTGGCATTTGATATTCACCCCTAAAAGTAGCATTTGAAGTGCCCTGGCCAGTTTGGCTCAGCAGTTAGCGTGTCGGCCTGCGGTCCGGAGAGACCCGGATTCAGTTCCTGCCAAGGGCATGTACCTCAGTTGCAGTTTGTTCCCGGCCCTGGTTGGGTCATGCAGGTGGCAGCCACTTGATGTGTCCCTTTCACATCGATGTTTCTCTCTCCCTCCCTCCCACTCTATCTGAACAAAAAATGGAAAAATGTCCTCAGGTGAGGATTTTTTTTTAAAAAAGTGGCATTTGAAGAAAAGTAAACCTGCTTTTCTTGGTAAAATGCTATGGTATGTCTGAACCATCAGTGGGAACTGAATTCTTTTCCAAGAATGGTGACATATTGTGATTAGTTATGGCATCTTACTCCCCACTCATGGAGTTACCACCACCTTGTGGGGTGTGGAGATCAGTAAATATGGCACGGGAATCAAACCCCAACCTTGTCTGCACTGTACAGCTAAAGTAGACTCTTTGGCTATCAAATTTGGAGTTTAATTATTTTGAAATCATATTTGAAACCAGTTGGTATTTTTAATTTTACTTTATAATCTAAAGTAGTGCCTTGTTTATAGAGAAAGAGAATATTACTATCATAAATACAAAATATAAACTGAAGGTGAGTCTTGTTTTATAATAAAATGTTTCTTACTATCAGAATATATTTAAGTATCAAATAGCAAGCATCATGATTTCAGCTTATTTTATGTAAATTGCCCATTTTTTTAATAGTTGTCAGCCTATGTTTTTTACACCTTAATCACAGTTATACTTTACTGGTTCCTGTAGTGTTCATAAGCCTGTCTTCTTCTTTATTTAGGTATCCCTCCACCTCGCCCTGGCATGATGCGCCCACCTTTGGTGCCTCCACTCGGACCTGCCCCACCTGGGCTTTTCCCGCCGGCTCCCTTGCCGAACCCAGGAGTTTTAAGTGCTCCACCCAACTTGATTCAGCGGCCCAAGGCGGATGACACGAGCGCAGCCACCATTGAGAAGAAAGCCACAGCGACCATCAGTGCCAAGCCACAGATCACTAATCCCAAGGCCGAGATTACGCGATTCGTGCCCACTGCACTGAGGGTCCGTCGGGAGAATAAAGGGGCTACTGCCGCTCCACAAAGAAAGTCAGAGGATGATTCTGCTGTGCCTCTTGCCAAAGCAGCCCCCAAATCTGGTCCATCTGTTCCTGTCTCAGTACAAACTAAGGATGATGTGTATGAAGCTTTTATGAAAGAGATGGAAGGGCTGCTGTGACAACTTCTGATGCCCGACCACGCTCTGTTCACATCATTGGTTCATGGAAAAAGAGGCTCTTGGGAAACTTAGGCAAAAGAGCTACTTTCACTGTCAGGGTATTTTCTCATTTGATTTGAAGGAATATCTTAAAGTTTAGCCTTGTTTGGAATCCACTGCATATAAGAGAAGGCCATGCACTCAGAATAGGTTGGTTATTGGAGCAGTTCTGCTAACATCCATTCCCTTTCATACCACCATTTCATCCCGTTTCTTGCCCTCTCCACTTTGGAACTTGTGATCAGGGGGTATTTGTTAAATTTATTTGTTTTTGATTCTCTTGTGTGCTGTGGGCACTGGAGTAGAGATTTTTTTTTGTTGGGGGGGAACAGTTTATTTCACCCCATCTTGCTTTTTGTGTTTATTTTTAATATTTTCTTGTAAATATTTTGTAAAATTGTAGTGAAATGGATCACAACGTCATTTCCTAATACAAAGCGAGATGTGTGGGAAGAAAATGTACAATTCTTTAATTAAAATATTTCCCACTGACCTAAACTTTGAGTGTTTCATGAAATAAATAAATGTTCTACCCCAAGATCTTCTGAGTTCCTGACAATCTATAAACATATTATCTTTTTTATGGTCAGAAAAGCAGTATTTAAAACTTGAGTTTAAAGGCACTACCATTTATGGTACAGAATGAGAATCTTATTGAAAATGTGGTTAAACTAAGTTTTAAATTTAAGGGATAAAGAAGAGAATTCTTTTCCTTCAGAATTACCATATTGACTTCAGGAAAATCGAGGTGTTATTTATTGCTAAGAACATACTCAGTCATATCCTTAAAGATGACTCACTTCCCCTAAAGCTTTGTGAACTGATACTGATTGTATAGCAAAACTTTTAAAACATTTCAAAACTATTAGAGAATCAGAAAAGGTTCCTTTTTGGAATGTTTTATATGCTTTTTTCTTTTTTAAAGCTAGTGAAAAGAATGTTTAATGCTGTTAACTTGCATTGACATTTTCTTTACCAAGTGCTTTAATCACTAATTCATCTACCCTGTAATTTTGGGGAGTGACTTTAAAAGATATTCTCATCTGTAAAATAGGGAAAATATCAAAGCCAAAGGGCTCATGTGATTTATCCAGTGGCCCAATGGTGTGTTTAATACGCAGACACACATGTGCACACACAGACAATGCATGCGTTACATTCAGGCTAGGCATGCCTGTTCTTCCCATTGTATCTTAAATGCCTTTCATGTGAATCCTATACCATAAAAAATATAACATTTATTGAATAATGTATGAAAGAGGGAGAAGTCATGGAATATATATAATAAATCATTACTATTGTAAAACTCAGTGTTTGGCACATGGTAAATGTAACGTTTTGTTAGAATTATATTTGCATTTCAGAATGACACCTGTGGCTACAGAGTTATGGGATGGATTGACTCGGGGTGAAAGACCTGAGGTGGAAAGACATTAGGAGACTACAGCAGGCAGAAAATGAATACCCAGCCTAGCACAGGAGGCGGAAGAGAGTTGAAAGATTAACTGCAGAGACAGAAAGCACATTAGTGGATTATCTATTTAGTGTAGGGAGTGAGGCTGAAGGGAAAGAATTTGGGGTCTCCAATTTAGGGCTTCGGTTGTGGGTAGCATCGTTAGGGAATAAAGGGTGAAGCTGGAGGAGGAAGAGGAGGGTAACAGCAGCTAGCACAAAGCTTTACATGTACTTATTTTATCCTTACCCCATCCCTGTGAGGTAGCAACCATCATTTTCTTTATTTTACAGATGTGTCCATTGAGGCACAGAATGATTAAATAACTTGCCCTGGTTTACACAACTAAAGGAACAGAAATTCAAACCTAAGTATTAGAAGGGGGGGGGGAGGGGTGTAGAACAAAGGCAATTGGTCCAGTTTGGAGCAGGCTGTGTTTCAGGTCCCTGTCAGGCCTGTGAAGTATGAACTCAGGAGGCAGGTAGAGGATATTGTACACTGAATGAGACAAGAATACCAAAAGGAAAGAGAAAATTGAGGCAGGAATTCTAAATAATCACAATGATATTTACTGAGCTCTTACCATACACTTGTCACTAACTGATCTACATAAGGAATTATTTACCCTACTTTTATAAATGAGAAAACCAAGGTTTAGTAAGCATATAAATAACTGGATTTTTATTGGGTTGAGTGCTTCTTTTCTGAGCTCAAATCAGGATAACATCGTTTTTTTGGGAGCTGGGCAAATGGGAAGCTGGATATTGGAAGAAAGGAGGAAAGTAAGGTCATAGCATTTATTTACTAAATACATTTAAATATATAAAAATTATATACAAGTATATTAAAATATAATTTTTAAATAATGTGTTATTAAAAATACATGGATTATCATGTTAAAGAAACTATAACATTGTTACCCTATATGAAGATACAAAAAGATAAATTCAAGATGAAAAGTTTCTTGATGAACATAGAATGTTCCTTGATGAACATGGGATGTTAGAAGATTCAGATATTTCAAGTACATAAATGTGGGACTGAAACACCCATACAAGTTCTCTTGCATGGTGCTTGGACACTGCAACATTTGCTTTAAGATGTCTTTTCTACTTCCACTCCTCAGCAAGCCCTCTTCTCTGTGTCACATGTTTTCTTTAGCTATTGAGAAAGGAGAAAGCCCATGACAGCTCAGAACTGGCCTGGACTATCAGCCAGACCCTGGTGTTGCTAGGAGTTGGCCTGACAGTTACACAGTGGTTTATTGTGGAAAATTTCACAGAACACCAACACCAGACAAGGCCATTCTGTGGCTGTGAAAAATCAAAACAGAAACAATCTGTAATTGTGTCTGAACACAAAAATATAAGAGTGGTCCAAACCACAAAAACGACCAAACAGACCCCTATGCTGACCAATATGCACTAGCATATGCACCAATTACAGCCTTAACCACCCTCCATTTCTTGTATTTTATTAGCTGCATTACCTACCCAAATCATAGACTTACCTCTTCTGAACAGCATGCAATCCTGGGCAAAACCCCAAAGTCAGTAAACACAAAGCCAAAACCTATAATAAATCCTAAAACCCTTTTAGTGCAACGCACCACATCTCCCTACAGTATGTATATGCTCTTGCTGCAAAGAGCAATAAGCCCAACTTGTTAAACTACAGGTATGTGCATGGTGGTCTTTGGCCTGAGGGCATAGATACAAATACAGATTCAGCTAACACACTCATTGCTGGGACCAGGACTCTCAGCTCAGTACCAGGTGAACATCTGAAACCCCTGTGATTCTTTCTGCAGGAGGTGCCATCTGCTCAGGGCTGGGAGGTGAAGAACGTGCTGAATTGAGTTTCTGTTTTTTGTTGAAGCACTTCAGCGTTGAGTTTATCATGTTTCCCTAGGAATAAGATTTCTTGGAATTTTTTGTCTGATCAGTATTCTTTGGTAAAATTGTTTTTAGTCTTGTCTTCCTGGTTTTCATTGCTTGTTAGCTTGCTTAATATTTAGCATTGTCTGTAAGAGGCAAAGTCTGTAGGGAGAGGATGGACATAGGCCTGAAAAGTCTGTTTTTGAGCTGATCTCCAAGGGCAGAGTAGTTCAGAAGTTCTCCTCGGACGAGCAACCTTAGGACTAACTTTGCTTCAGGTTGGCATTTCTAAACTTGATAAAGATTTCTTCCTCACTCTTGTCTTTGAGTCTCTGAGAACTGGTTTGTTTAGTTTTGTCTGCCTGAACCTATGGGTAATGACTGGCCATTGGCCAAGTTCTGGGGATCAGAAATTACACATCTTTATTAAACACTGTATTTCTCCTAGTTGTTATCATCTAAAACTACCTCTTCCAGGCCAAACACCTGCTTCCTTCATGTCCACTCATAACAGTCATTTGTACACCTACTTCTCTAATAGGCACAATTTCATCAGAGACCTTTTGGAATTGCAAAGGCCATATTTTTCAAATGAACAAGATAGTTCCCAACAAGACAGTTCACTTGAAAAATACTTTACAACAAAAACAAATAAGCCCTCACGAGCAGATTGCTTGTCTGCTTCACCTAAAAGAAAGATAATTTTGTTCAAAGTAGGGCTTATCCCTCCTTTGTTTCCACAATTTGGTGTTAAGTAGTGCTGGCTTTTTAATTGTATGGCTTGATAAAATTATCAAGGACCCAAGTTACTGTCCAAATGTGCTGTCATTTTCTTTTACGTATGTGTATGTTAAAATCTGTTTTTTCAACTTCTAACATTTTCTTCCTCTCCTTGGAGAAAAACACAAAATAAAGCTTTATAGTGCCAATTTCATATCTGCCTGAAGCCAGCTGGCTTCCTTTTTTCTTCTTCTTCTTCATTTTATATTTTCTGTTCCTCTTACTCTCCATTTCCCTCTATTGGGAAGATAAATAAACATTATCTGATTTATAAAACTTTAATTTTAAATTTATAAAAAATCCCAGGCATTCTAAAATATCTAATTGCTTCTATAAATTAATAAGTTGCCACTATTTCTATAACTTAAAAAATTAAACCATTAAAATATGTTAAAAACTAGATTCAACTAAATGGAATGATAAAGAATATATCTTAAAAGGGTTCTTTACCAATATTTTTATCTTTTTTTTAAAAGACAGTTTCAGTTGTCACCATATATACCTTGAATTTCTGCATGTAAAAATGCAAAGGATTAAAATGCATATCCATTCCAGTGCCTTAGTAAAGTGAGCCAGCTTATCAGCATTTGCTGTGTGGAAAAATGTAATATCTTATGAAGAATGTTTTCTAGTTATATGTCAAAGAATGAGCAAATTAGGGGGTATCAAGAGGTGCTGCAATCTAACTTGTGAAAAATCTCTGTCCCTTTACACTCTGTCTCCTGGTGTCCTTCAGGCCATGTCCTCTCATCTTCTTAATGGCTCCTCTTCCTCTGCCAGATGATTAGGTTTCATAGGTCTTCACATCCCCTGTTAGCTGTGGCTGTTTGTTTTATATATATACACATTCACTTATACATCTACACATATATTCTATATACCTATATTCCCTCCGAATGATTTTGTCCACTTTGACCATTTTTAGTCATGACTTCCAGATTCTTATTTCCAGGCCAGAACTTTTCCCCTGAATTCATTCACATCCAGCTGCAGGTATTGTGTTCTTACCCTTATGCCTTTGTGTATGTTGTTTTTCTGCCCAGAACACCCTGTCATGTCAGGCTAACTTTTCTACCTAGACTTATCACAGGTGCCACTCTCCCCAGCAGGCTGAGGGACACTATTCCCTGTTACTGTAACACTCAGGGAATCACCCTTTCTTTACAGGTAGCCTACTAGATTATAATCATCTTTTTTATTATATTGTAACCATTTTTCATGACAGTGGTTACCAAGCATAGGTATAACACACAATATATATGCAATAAGTTATTGAACAAACAGGTGTGCTTATCAAACCATTAATTCCAAACTAGACTGTCTCGGGGGAAAATTCAAATTAAGGTTCATAAGTGTCAACCATTTATTACGCTTTTTTCTGTTACAGATTGAGTTGTGGATATTTCATAAAACAGCCACTAAACCTATGATTTTCTACCAGAAAAGTCACAGGATTGTTAGAATGGCATGTTTACCTGTTTCAATAGGTCCCTTAACTACAGCTACTCTCTTTAATCCATTTTCCCATAGAAATAAGAATAGTTACTATTCACTGAGCACAGTTCTATATGAGACACTTATTGCTCTCATTCACATTATCTCGTTGACTCCTCCCCAAAACCCACTAAGGCAAACTCTATTATTATGCCCACTGAACAGATGACACTGAGGTTGGAAGATACTGAGCAACATTTCCAAAGTCATCCAACAAGTAAGGAACAGGGTGGATTTGAATCTGTCTCATTCCAGAGAGCTTGAGTTCTTAAACACTATGGCATATGACCTTTCAACCACTGGGAGGGAATATGTGAAAAGTTTGCATGTACTAGGCCAGTCATCAGCAATTATGGGGCCAGACCAAACCTTTTGATTCCAGGCAGACAAAACTAAACAGGCCAGTTCTCAGGACACAAAGACAAAACTGGCTCTGCAGAAAAACAAACAACAAGTAAGTTCTGCTCAAGTCACAGCCTGCCACACTGAATGGCCGATCTCTGCAGCAAAAAGTATGAGTGTCTATAAATACAACTATAAATTACCAATCTATTAAAAATTAGAATTCAGGTCCCATCAGTTTTTGTACTTCTTCATACGATCTTGTACTTGAAGAAATATTGGCCTTTTAAATAAACAACCGTACATTGGCAAGAAACATTTGCTCATCAGGCCAAATTGATTTTGCAAGAGGTATGCATTTTTTGCTGTCAATAAATTATTTATTCAGGTTAAAAAAAAAAAACAGCTCTCAAAAACAGAAGTGATGAGGGACTGACTGAACCTGGCAGCAGGGAAAGTATTTAAGGAGAACCTAAGAATCTCAAGGCAGTGACAAGTGGAGGTGGGGTGGCAGTCATTACACTTTGTATCTTGTCTGTCTTACCTTCCAAGTAACAGGGTTTGATAGACTCCTGTGAATCTTCAGAGGGAAAAAGAAAAGTGTTTTGTTTTTTCTTCTTATAAATGTCTTGATGGCATTCATCCTTATTTCTTCAGCATTTTGGTCATAAGCCTCAAGTATTTCAGGAAATTAAGATTTAAAGGTCACAACCAACACTGTTTTGTTTTTTTTTGTTTTTTGTTTTTTTTCCCTCCACTGCCTATCATGCCCCCAAGCGGTAACACGGAGAACTATCCTAACAACTGAACAGTCAAGTCAAAGCAAGACAAAAAATCTTATTAGTTATAGCTACCTATATTTTAACCTATAAAGGTAAGCCCATATCCTATAGAAAATGGTATTTCTTTTAATTTATTGAGTGCCTAATATATGCCTAATGTGTGTAGTAAGTGAACAATCTCAGTCTTTGAAAGGGGTATTATGACTAATTTACATGAGGAAGCCTTCTGGATGAAAGGTGAGGAGTAAATAGCTGGACATCCTGGAATCTGTCGATGGTACCTTTGGGATCTATCTCCTCAGGAATTAGGGGGCAATAATCTGATTAACAGAAGTGTGTGTGACCTGGCCTTTGTACACCTCAAAGATAACCACATGGGAAAGGTGATCCCGACATTCACTTCACAAGCAGTGAAGTGACACAAGTACTAACAGAAGCTGAAGGGAAATCCTTTCTCTGATATTTGTTCATCGTCCTGTCTTCAGTCATCAAGAAAAAAAAAGTGAGCTCCAAGAGAGTGCCAATCTAGTTAGCCTCCTTTATAGCTGTACTCCCATCACTCATCACCCATTACCTGGTACTGAGCATGGTATATAGAGATGCTCAGTAAGTAGTGAGGAAGAAATATAGTCCATGTGGGAATATGGGCCAAAGATATACTTTATTTTCTTTCTTTCAGGAAGACTTCAACTCTGACTCACAGGAAAGATGACTTCAAAGACGTGAAATATAAACTGGGATCTTTTGTGCGCCCTGTGGGCCAGGATGAAGCTTGAGGAAAAGGTGAAATAGAAGGGTCAACCAAGAATGAAATAGGATTGCTAGTGTTTAACTTTTAAATGTGAATTCTTTACCTGAAAAGTGTTTCTTCCTGCACTTAAATCATTTCTACTTACATTTTCTCATATCTCACATATTTATTAAAGCACTGCTGGGGCATTAAGCAATGCAACCCCTATAGGCATTGTTGGAATGAGATCATTACTTCAGGCCAGTGAAGAACATAAGGGATTTCAAGCAGGCTATATAAAGCAAAATCAAACCTACTACGTTTCCAACGCAATATAATACGATGGAGACAAGACCATTATGAAGCTAGAAACTTGAGAAAATCATTTTAAAAGCTCATAAGTATATGTTACTCATGACTAAAGGCGTTGCACTGTTATGCAACATGAGTGTCAGGGGAACAAATTTCCAACCTCATGACTCATGTTTCTGTATTACACATAATACTGGGCATTTCCTTCACTTTAAAGAAATGTGAACATAAGTGGTGTATAAAAATATCTGCTATCCAAAACATGCAAACACAACAGCTGATAGGTTAAGAAAAATCTAAGTTGACACTGTATCATCAGAGCCACCTTTCCAAGACGGAAAGTTACTCCACTTTGTGAAAAGTATCGCTGGATAAGCAACTTGTCCCATGGTCTCTTTCTAGAACTGGTTTCTGAACTGCCTACATAGGGCAAGCGAGCTAAAGCCCTGGGAAGAGGCCGTAAAAATAATTTCCCCCGCCGCGCCCATACCTACTCTGCCTCCCCCTTGCCTTAAGACGATCAGGGAGAGCTCTCAACCATGCCCCTCCAGGCCAGTGGGTCCCTCCAAGTCTCCCTCACCGCCCAGACGCCTCGTGGGTGACCTGCGGACCAAAGCGGACCCACCAGTACCTGCTCCAGAGGTCTCCAGCAGGCCCCGCAACTACACAGCTCTCTCGACCACACGATTTTCACCGACTTTATTGGCTCCTGACCCCGGTGGGCACCTCGCAACCCACCTCCCCACTAGATCGCGCCGACCCTCCATGACATTCAGCATATTCAAAAACACTGCGGGGCGGCTATGAAAAAAAAGAGCCTTTGCTCGGGAAGCCAGCTCCCCTGTGGCGGCGTCAGAGTCACTTGCTCTTCGCCTTCTGACTCTCCGTCTTCTTGGGCAGCAGCACGGCCTGGATGTTGGGCAGGACGCCGCCCTGAGCGATGGTCACTTTTCCCAGCAGCTTGTTTAGCTCCTCGTCGTTGCGGATGGCGAGCTGCAGGTGACGAGGGATTATCCTGGTCTTCTTGTTGTCACGCGCGGCATTGCCTGCCAACTCCAGGATCTCCGCGGTCAGGTACTCCAACACCGCTGCCAGGTACACCGGCGCCCCAGCGCCTACTCGCTCCGCGTAGTTGCCTTTGCGCAGCAGTCTGTGCACTCGGCCCACCGGGAACTGCAGTCCGGCACGGGAGGACCGGGACTTGGCCTTCGCCCGCACTTTGCCGCCTTGCTTTCCGCGACCAGACATGTTCACTTCTCGCCTAAAACTCCAGCGACAGAGGAAAACCAGCGATCCCGGTCCGACTGTAGGAACGCAATGTAACACACCGGAACCGCCTCTACCAACACTTTGGGTCCACTATGCAGCGCCTAACCATTGGACGCCGCAACATTCTCGGCTCCGGCAACCAATGATAGGCAGGCTACCCTCCCAATTACCACGCTAGCAGAGGGACCGCCTTCTTTAGCTCTCTCCAATCAAAAGAGCAAACCTCAGTTCTCATTTACATAGCCTTCCGACTGCCTCTGGTTCTTTTAAATGTACTGGATCTAGTGATTTCAACCTCCACGCTCCCACTCAGAAAAATAAAGTCTTAAGAATTAAGGGAGATCGGGAAGAAGAGATAGTCTATCCACAAGTACTTAGAGCTCAAGAAATAAATGTCCCTTGAGGTCGCGCACAGTGTGCCATTCGTCGCTGTGCCCTCTAAGAGGATTTTCTCACATAATACAGTAGTTATCTAACTCCAGGGCCCGCACTTGTGGACAACACTGGTCCTCAAACGAAATCACAAATTGTCTACCGAATTCTGCCTGCCCAGTACAGGGTACGTTGCCTGTTCTTTAAATGAGTGCCTTGCAAACCTAGAGGCTCCAGCTGATTACCCAACAGTGCGAGGAACTGGCTCCAAGAGAAGCTTCCTCTTTAGCTGGCCATCTGAACTTGAAGTAGTCCAGATTACACCGGACTCCCGCAAAGCTCTACGCCCCACAGGCTGCCAGTCTTGGTTTGTAAGGGCTGTGAAACTAGAGTGCTAGACATGAATGATTTCTTCACAGAGGGGAGGAAATAAGCTCACTTAGCCAAAATTTAACATCTCTTGTCTTTGAGGTGATGAGTCTGAAAAAAGCCTCTGAATTGTGCAGAGGATGATGGCTCAGTTTAGTTGCTGAGGCTGAAAGTTTTGGCCTTGGCTTTAGCCTAGTCAGTCACAGGCACCTCGGATCACGTTCTCCACGAAGACTATCTCTTTGTAGACGAGCCCAGAGGTAGATATGGTCATGTAAAGACATTCTGGTGGTGCTCAGACCTAATGAAAAGACTAAAGAAAGAAAAAATGGCAGCATTTGGAACAAAATATGTCTTCTTTAACTAGAAATTACGTTCTACTAATTTACTGGGTTAACTCCATTTACCTTAATATTTTTTATAATTATATAATTGACTATGGAATGTAATGTTAAACACATTAAATAAGCAGTTTTTTATGTGGATTATTGTATTCACTTAAATTAAAACAAATTTACCCCCTCACCATCCAATAAAAATTTGATTTCATTGAAAAATAGTTTTCAACTATCTATGTGTAGGTCCTTCCAGCCTAGCTCAATAATTAACCTATCTATATAGCAGTAGCTAAATGAACTTCTTTGGATCTGAGAAGCAGTATATTGTCATGGTTAAGGTGGTCATCCTAGATCCAGACGGCTCTGTCCAAATCCTGGCTCTACCACTTACCAGCTGACCTTGGATAAGTTACTGAACCTCTCTGTACCTATCCCAATGTGTTTTGAAAATTACATATGTTAGTAAGCATCCAACAACTGTTAGATAAAGTGAATAATGGACAAACAAATTTCTGATGCATTTTTTTAAAAGATGTTCCTGGGATGAGTTTTGTAAATATAGCTTAAATTTTTGCCTATACCATGGAAAAAATTTTAACAGATCATTATTATTATTATTATTATTATTATTATCATCACTATTTTTCTTTTTATTGTTGTAAGCAAGAGAGATTTCTAACTTGAAAATGTTCTACCATTGATTTCTTAGTCATGATCAGTATAAATAAATAAATCTATTTTACCATTACAAGAATCCTGACTCTTCAAGATCCAGTAGACTTGCCCTGGCCAATTGGCTCAGTGGTTAAAGTGTCGGCCTGCAGACCACAGAGTTTCTGTCCAATTTCAGCCAAGGGCACACACCTCGGTTGCCATTTGTCGCCAGCCCTTGGGGTCGTGCAGGCGGCAAGCAGTCCACATCGATGTTTCTCTCTCTCTCCCTCCCACTCTGTGTGAAGATAAATGTAAAAATATCCTCAGGTGAGGATTTTTAAAAAGAAAGATCCAATAAACTTTTCTTCTTCCCTCTGGGTCAATTAAAATCATATATAATTCAATTATTCAGGTTTTTTACCCCAGCCATCTAGTGTTCCAAAGGCTTTTTTGTTGTTATTAATCCTCACTCAAGGATATTTTTTCCATTGATTTTAGATAGAGTGGAGAGGGGGAAAAGAGAGAAACATCCATGTTGCAGCAACCCATGATTAGTTGCCTTTCACACAACCCCAACCAGGGCCAGGGATTGAACCTGCAACCCTTGATCGGGAATCAAACCCAAGACCATTTGGTCTGAGGGCTGACACTCTAACTGCTGAACCAAACTGGCCAGGGCCCAAGGGTTCTTTGAATTCATCTTCAAAAACAACAAGAAGTAATTTTTGTGCTATGGAGATGAGTAAGAATGGGTAAGTTATAAGCATTTAGATATATAATAAATGTTTACCATAAAGCTTTTCTGCTGGTAAGGCTTATCCTTCAAGATTAGGGACAGGAAGAACAATTTACTAAAATGTTCATTCGTCAAGACAGTAAGTACCTGGGAAAGAGTTTTAAAATCATCCTCTAAATATTGCTGCTTTTTATCACAGTAAAACCTTTTGGGAAGACAAGAGTTCTGTATCCTAGAGTAGTGATGCTACTACTTTTGTTTTTGTTCAGGATTCTCTTAAGAAAAGGATTGAGAGCCTCCTAATTGAGGATTTGCAGTATAAGTCGTTGTTTATAGCCACGATCATGGCGCCCATTACTTTACAAGAACTTTGCGTTTTTAAATGGAACTGAGAACCTCGGATTTCAATGAAATAAGAAATTTACAGGGGAGTCAATTTGGTGGCTGGAAAAGAAGCTCCTTCCGAGAGTGTCTGTTGGTCCTACGCAGTCGGTATTGGCGCAAGCCAGAATGGAGCGGCAACCGGTGGAGCAAGCCCCCACCACCCCCACCCGCGCCAAGTCAGCGGACTCCGAAGAGGACCACATGACCCTGCTGCTCAGGCTGAGGACACAGACAAAACAACTCTTGGAATAGAAATCAGTGGTTGATGCAAATGAAGAAGAAAAAAAAAAAAAAAAACAGAAGAAATCATTCCAGAAAAGCAAATTGAAACTAAAATTGAAGACCTGGAAAATGAAATCGAAGAGGTGAAAATTGCTTTTCAAATGAAAAACCTTGCACTAGACAGGATGCAACTTTTGACAGCACTTAGAAAAAACCCAGAGAAAAGTAACACTCAGACTAGTGAGCTCATGGACAACATGAAACCCGTAGTAAAGAGAAATAAAATAATAATGAAATCACAGCAGGAGTCTTGGGATTTGGAGGAAAAACTGCTTGATGTTAAAAAGAAGAGATTTGAATTAAAACGAGCTTCAGAAAGTAAGTTTTTAGAAATACAGACTGAAAAGAATGAACTGAAAGATGATTTGGACATTACAGAAAATTCAGACAAGAAAAAGACCTTAGAACAAAAAGCTAGAGGTAGAGATACAAATTACTACAGTTATTCAACATGTGTTCCAGAACCTCACTTTAGGGAATAAAGTCAATTGTGCAGAGGATTCTGCCTTTAAGGAAACAATTCTGCAGCTTGAGAAGAATCTCACCATGATCTAATAAGAATTCTAGTTTGGCATTATTTGTTTCTGTCTTTGATATGTCATTTAAATAGCAAATTTCAGGTGAAATGTGTTTCTTTTGGTGTTTTTGGAACTACTCTTATACTGCAATTTTTTTTAAGCTTAACACTGTAACATGGACTCTATTGTTTTAAATGTGATAATTAACATGACTGGCATACTCAAAAAATCTGAAAATCTTAGCCTTGTAATGGTCTGGAAAGACATCATCTAGTCCAGCTTTCCACTCAATGTGCACATTTTTTCTACAACATTACGGGAAGTCCCAGCTTTCATTTGGAATACCTCCCTACATTTCCTTGTCAACCAAAATATTAGAAAATTAGAAAGGCACATTTACATCTTTATTTTTTTAACTGTCAGTTATATTTTATTCAGATAAATCTTATTTTAGATTTATCTCACTACAGATTCTTTTCTTATTAAGATATAAATGGTATATAACATAGTATAAGTTTTAAGTGTACAGCATGTTAAATTGACCAACATGCTTTAGATAACAGATTCATCATATCGCATAATTATTATTTGTGTGTGTGTGTGTGGTGAAAACATTTAGGCTCTAGTCTCTTAGCAACTTTGAATTATATAATAAAATATTGTTAACTAAAATCACAATGCTGTGCTTTAGAAATCCAAAACTTATTCAAATTCTACCTGTGAATTTGTAGCCTTTGACCAATATCTCTTTAATTCCCCCACCCCCTCATCCATATCTTTAAACAGACCCAAATAAAGCAAAAATTTATTAAATAGAAAAAAGAGAAACTTACAGTATTTCAACTAAATAAAACCAGAGAAATAGTTATTTGGTTGAAAAGCAAATACATACTTAGGGTGAAGGAGCGGAGTCAGGAAAATCTACAAATTGTGCAGAAGAAGCTGCAAGGGGAAAGTTTGGGGAGGGGACCAGGGGGAAGGTCAGACCTTTTGAAATAATATTAATTCTCCACTGAGCCACAAAAGAAAAAAAGAACCACTAAAAATTTTCCTCTTTTGCCCAGCCTGTGTGGCTCAGTAGATTGAGCATTGTCCCATTAACTAAGAGGACCCTGTTAGATTTTTAGTCAGGGCACATGCCCCTGTTTCAGCCCGATCCCCAGTAGGGGGCAAGCGGAGGCAGCCAATCGATGTTTCTCTCTCACATGGATGTTTCTTTCTTTCATTCTTTCTTTCTTTTTAACAGTTTTTTTTTTTTTATTAATTTATTTTTGTTACAGATGTTTCTCCTCCTTTTTCCCCATTGACACCTTCCTCCCCATCCCCCCCACTTCATCCCTCACATGGATGTTTCTCTCTCTTCCTCCCTTCCTTTCTCTCTAAAAAAATAAATAAATAAAAACATATTAAATTGTTTTTCCTCTGTCCCCACTAGTGACTTAAAAAGATCCACAGGTGAAAAGCTGTAAAGCATTTGCTTTGGAATCTAACACGATGTAAAGCATGGCTAGTTCCTGTTGATTTTCACATTAGTCTAGGAATGGTTATTATAGCAGTAAGCATTCCATTTGGAAACTGTAGAATTAGAATTCGAGCATGTGTGTGAGAGAGAGAGAGGATTGGGAGGTGGAGGACAGAGAGAGACAGAGGGAAGGAAACCAAGCGTGCAAAGGATATGGCCTACTTTGTTGCAAGCATTTTATTTATTTATTTATTTTTTATTTTTTTATTAATTAATTAATTTTGTTACAGATGTTTCTCCTTTTCCCCCCACTGATTACCCCCTCCCCCTCCCTCCCTGCCCTGTCCCCAGCTTTGTTGTCCATGTCCATTGTTCATGCATACATGCATATAAGTTCTGTGGTTTATCTCTCTCCCACCACCCCCTCTTCTGGGGATTGTCAGCCTGTACCCCACTTCCACGTCTCTGGGACTACCCCATTACTCAGACTGTTAAGTTCATTATATTCCACAAATAAGAGAGATCATATGATACTTGTCTTTCTCTGTTTGGCTTGTTTCATTTAGGATGATACTTTCCAGGTCCCTCCATGTAGTCTCAAAGGATAAGAGATCTTTCTTTCTTACAGTTGCGTAGTACTCCATTGTGTATATGTACCACAGCTTTTTTATCCATTCGTCTACTGATGGAGACTTGGGCTGTTTCCAGATCTTAGCTATTGTAAATAGTGCTGCTACAAACATGGGGGTACATATATTCTTTCTGATTGGTGTTTCAGGCTTCTTAGGGGATATTCCTAGAAGTGGGATCACTGGGTCAAATGGCAGTTCAATTTTTAATTTTTTGAGGAAACACCATATTGTTTTCCATAGTGGCTGCACCAGTCTGCATTCCCAACAGCAGTGTACTAGAGTCCCCTTTTCTCCACACCCTCGCCAACACTTGTTGTTTGATGATTTGTTGATAGCGGCATTCTGACAGGTGTGAGGTGATACCTCATTGTTGTTTTAATTTGCATCTCTCTGATGATTAGTGATGTTGAGCATTTCTTCATATGTCTCTTAGCCATTTGTATGTCCTGTTTGGAGAGGTGTCTATTTAGTTCCTCTGCCCATTTTTTAATTGGGTTCTTTGTCTTCCTTTTGTTGAGTTGTATGAGCACTCTCTATATATTGGAAATTAACCCTTTATCTGATATATTATTCTCAATTATGCTCTCCCATACAGTGGGTAGCCTTTTTGTTTTGATGATTGTATCTTTTGCTGTGCAGAAGCATTTGAGTTTGATTTAGTCCCATGTGTTCATTTTCTCCTTTGTTTCTATTGTCTTAGGTGATGTATCAGTGAAAATTCTGCTGTGTACGATGTCTGAAATTTTGTTGCCTACATTTTCTTCTAGGATTTTTATGGATTCATGAGTCACATTTAAGTCTTTTATCCATTTGAGTTTATTCTTGTATAGGGTGTAAGTTGATGGTCTAGTTTCATTTTTCTGCATGTAGCTGTCCAATTTTCCCAGCACCATTTATTAAAGAGGCTGTCCTTACTCCACTGTATGCTCTTGTTGCAAGCATTTTAAAAAGGCAATATAGCCCTGGCCGGTTTGGCTCAGCGGTTAGAGCTTTGGCCTGCGGTCTGGAGAGACGCGGATTTGGTTCTCACTAAGCTAAGGGAACGTGCCTCGGTTCAGTTTGTCCTGGGCCCTGGTTGGGTCGTGTAGGTGGGCCCTGGTTGGGTTGTGTGGGGGGCAACCACTCTATGTGTCCCTTTCACGTGGATGTTTCTCTCTCTCTCTCTCTCTCTCTCTCTCTCCCTCCCTCCCTCCCTCCTTCCCTCCCGCTCTATCTGAACAAAATATGGAAAAATGTCCTCCGGTGAGGATAAAAAAAATAAAATAAAAAATAAAAAGGCAATATACATTCTATTGAGTCTTTCCTCAATTTTATAGCAATAACTAACAAAATGTTTCTCAAAATATATATATAATATTATATATATATATATATATATATATATATATATATATATAATCAGTCTTGTTCTGTTTACTGCTTTACTCGACTCATTGTCGGGTGTAAAAACGGGTCTCCTGGGGCCTAGAGCTCCACCCACTTTCTTTAGGTTTTGAAACCCATCCTCTCAGGAACTACAAGCCTTAGACAGAACTGTTGGCTGCTTACTTTTCTGTCCAGGTAAGACACTACCATAAGGATGCCTGGTCCAGGTAGGGTGGCAAAGGAGAATGCCAAGCGCCACCGGAAGGTCTTAGGGAAAATATCTAGGACATTATTAAGCCTTCTAGTCACCGTCTTGCTGGATGGGGTGGTGTCCAGAGTTTCTGTGGGTTCACCTATGAGGAGACTTGGGGAGCTCAAAGTGTTTCTGGAGAATGTGATCCGCCATGTGGTGTATCCAACACTTACATGGAGTAGCCAAGCGCAGGACCCGGCCATGGATGTGGTGTATGAGCTGAAATGCCAGTCTCAATCTGCATGGCTTCCACGGCTTACCTCCAGGCTCCAAAAGGCCCCTTTGAAGGCCCCCCAAAAACGTCAAGAAAAGAGTTGTCAATGCTACCTACCGTGTGAATGTCGGATCTAGATGCAGATAGGTGTTTTTGACGAAGCGTTTCAGATGCCATTAAATGTAATCAAGTTGTCATGGACGCAACTGCTCTGTAGGGTGTCTCTGCGTTTAAAGTTTGGGGCTTGGGAGGAGAGTTGGTGTGAGCCCTCAAGCTCCCACTGAGGAAGCCAGCGCCGCTCCTGGGATGCCTGACTCTTTGGAATCTGCTTGAAAGAGGGAACCGTCTCCACCGTTCCCAGGAGTGGCAGACGGCTTCTAGGCAGCCCAGGCCCCTGGCTCTGAACACGTATAGAGTGGCTTCGATGTAAATCGGGGCTGGAGGACTTTCCGCCTCTGATTCGACCCGAGGGCCACACGTCAGGTGGGCGGTTCTTCACCCTTGCTGCACCCGGGGGGGCGCGGGGACGTCCGGTAGGAAAGCGCCTGCTGCAGGCAAGTCAGAAAGCGAGAAACGCAGCCCTAGTGCGTGGCTTGCTGGAGTATTGCGAGGTGGGCACGTGCTGTTTTTTCCGCTGACGATTTGAGTAAGGGGTGACCAAGCTCAAACGCTAAAGGCAAGGCGGCAAAGTGCGGCGACCTCCAAGGCCGGATCAAGCTCGCGGCCCTGCACTACCCGTGGGCCGTCTGCACACGTGAGCAGCGTGGAGCCGGGGAGCGTGCCGATCCGAGCACCCGGCGGCGGTGCCGAACCCGGGCCCGCGGGAATGCAGGCGTCAGCCCACAGCGCGGCCAGGGCAGCCGGCAGCGCCCTGCCCGCCATCCAGGCCCAGCTGTTGTGGGGAGACTGTCATGTGACCCGGTTCAGCCTGGAAATAAGGCCCTGGCGTCAGAGTCAAGGCCCTTTTCGGAGCGGCTGGCCGGGCTGTGGGAGGGAGATGGGCGGCGGACTGGGTTCTACTAAGTTCGGTGAAAATGGTGTGGGCGAGAGACCTGCGTAGTAGTGGGGTCCTGCCCAGTGATCCGGCTGTGCAGCCAGATCTCCAGCAAGGTGCCACTAAAGGGGGGCGGGGGGCGGGGCCTGTTTGAGGGCGTTTTCCGGAATCTCCTGTCAGGCTGGAAACCGGGGGACCCACCGGACGTGCAGGCCAGCTGGGGCTGCCAGTGAGGCCAGGTGGCACCTAACTCGGTTTGATGGCCTCCCTGCACTACTAACTAACCTGTTTATATAAAATGGGGAAGGGGCTTAGGACCCTAAATGCAATGTGATCCCCAGGTTAGGACCTTCATTGAGGTGTGATCCCCAGCTCTGGCTTATCTAAACATCCTGAAGTCAATAAGCTTCCGGGGAGGCGGGGAGGTTTGCCCAGAGTGGTTCTGGGGAAGTTTCCCATCCTTGAGGGCTTTGTATATCTCATTTTAAGCGATACATGTCTCAAGTGTACTCAGGGAATCATTTCTTGTATTCCCTCATTATACCATTGTTTGGTGTGCCAAGCACTTTGGAATACCTTGTGTTCCATTTGTTGCATTCAGTTCTCCAGCAAACTTATGAAGTATTTATAGTCATGTGTCACATAATGACAAGTTGGTCAATGAGGGACTGAACATAGAAATGTGGTCCTATAAAATTATAATGGAGCTGAAACATTCCTATCACCTAGTGACACTGTAACTGTGCTGACATCAAAGTGCAAGGCATTACTCAGGTGTCTTCAGTGATGCTGGTGTGCACAGACCTACTGTGCTGCTGGTCATATAAAAGTACAGCACATATAATGATGTACAGTACATAATACTTAATGATAATAAATGACTGTTACTGGTTTATGTATTTACTATATACTTTTTATCATTATTTTAGGGTGTACTCTTTCTACTTTAAAAAAAAAAACACTGCTGTAAATAGTATATTGTTACACCATCAGCAGCCTTATACACCTGTTATTTACCATGTGTCTTGATTGCATCATTTTCTTTTGTACGTGATAAAATCTCCTGTTGTTTAGGCCAGTAGGTTATACCATATACCTGGGTGTATAGTAGGCAATTCCATCTGGGTTTGTGCACTCTATGATGTATGAACGACAATGAAATCGCATAAAGACACATTTTGCAGAGAATGACTGCATTATTAATGACCATTTTACAGGTGAGGAAACTGATGTGGGGATGGGGTGATAGAACTGGAGCTAGGATTTGAACCCAACCCTGTTGGATCTCAAACCCTTGACCTTTAACCCTTACGCACCACTGCTCCTGCCATGGAGGCCCCCTGCCTCTACTTGCTGACATTTCACATCCGAGCACTTTCTCCTACTCCATAAGCACTCAAGTGTATTCATGACGCTGGTTCTAATTAAACTTTTAGGGGAATAAGACAGTCCAAGAAGCTCAATTTTCTTTAATGCAAGTGAAAAAAAGTTGCTTAAAAGAAAGAGCCAAGTCTGGCAAACTTCTGTGACTTCATATTTGTTCAATGTGAATGAGTGAATTTAAGTAGGTGAAGTAATATAACTATTAAATTCCCAATTAAGAATGAATCAAATTATTGAGGATGAAGGATGAATGTTAGGACCCCAATGAAGTGTGGAAATAAATATTCATATGACAATTCAAAAAAGTCCCTAAGTATTTAATTTAACTGGAATTGTTTAATTTTTTGTTTGTTTGTTTGTATTTTTGGTAATGGACTCAATTCTTTGTATCTGTGAAATAGAATTTATATTTTCTCCTGTAGTATAGCAATTTTGTTCATGTTTGACGCTCTTTATAAAATATAACCACATTATTTGAACAGAGGAAATCTTTATTTTTGTCTCCGATTATGAGTCCCATGGTAGTACCCAGTCCTGAAGCAATCATATTTTCCAAACACAAATTGGGTCACATTAGATCATATTCTGCTGTGTTCTCCAACTGTGGGTATACGGAACAAATTTTGTCAAGAGAACACAGCAGCATATCTGAAATTGGAACTGATATTTTCTGAAGTTAACTAATAAAATGCCTTGCTACAGATGTTTGTTAAATAAAGAACTTAATTTAGCCCTGGCCGGTTTGGCTCAGCGGTTAGAGCGTCGGCCTGCGGTCCGGAGAGACCCGGGTTCGGTTCCCGCTAAGGGCACGTACCTCGGTTGCAGTTTGTCCCCGGCCCTGGTCGGTCGTGCGGGTGGCAACCACTCGATGTGTTCCTTTCACGTCGATGTCTCTCTCTCTCTCTCTGTTCCTCTCTCTCCCTCCCACTCTACCTGAACAAAAAATGGAAAAATGTCCTCGGGTGAGGATAAAAAAAAAAAAAGAACTTAATTTAAAGCTTCTCCCTGGCTAGTGTAACTCAGTTGGTCGGGCATCATACCAAGAGGTCGCAGGTTTGATTCCTGGTCAGGGCACATGCCTGGGTTGCAGGCTCAATCTTCAGTAGGGGGCGTGCAGGAGGCAGCTTATGTATGTATTTCTCTCACATTGACGTTTCTATCTCTCTCCCATCCTCTCTCTCTAAAAAAAATTTTAAAAGAAACATTAACCCTGGCCAGTTTGGCTCAGCGGTTGGAGCGTCAGTCTCGGGTTTGGTTCCCACTTGGGGCACGTACCAAACAAACAAACAAAAAAGAAAGAAAGAAACATTACAGTTTCTCTATAATGCCTCTCTTACAATGTGAATAGAAGGCTGTTGAAATTAGATCCTGTAGTAACGTCACCTCTTCTGAATTTTGAATATTTTAATACTGTACCTCTTTTGTTCCAAGTACAGTTGACTTTTGAAGATTCAGAGCTAAATAAGTACAGTCCCTGCCACCAAGAAGCTTCTATTTTCCAAGTAAAAAGAGGGGGAAAGGAAGTACGTCTGTGTAGTTGTATACATGTGGTTTGCTCTAAAAAAGTGTATGAATGAAATGCTGTGGGTATACAGAACACATTTTATCAGGCTTAGGAGAATCTTTAAATATCAGGAAACATTTGTTCTTAGCCGAAGGCCCGTTGGAGAAGGGGAAGGCCACACCAGACTTGGGGAACAACGAGCATGAACAAATACCAGAGTAGTTTCCAGGCATGGTGTGTTTGGGGAACCTCCTAATGTTGGATATTTAATTTGCCCTGTTGCCCAAGAATAATGCAATGGACTAAGTAAACAGTTGGATAAAAATTGAAAACAAGTCCAAGTAAGCCAACAGAAAAATGGGCAAAGACAATGTGCAAAAACATGGCCAATAAACATAGGAAGAGATGTTCAGTTTGATTAGTCATTGGGGAATTGCAAATCAAGCCCACAGTGAAATGCCATTTTTTTTCACTCACTAATTGGTAAGAATTTAAAAGTGACAATAGCAAGTGTTGCACAGAATCTCTTAAATTGCTAGTAGGAGTATATATGGGTTCAACTGTTTATGAAACAAAGTTGTCATTATCTTGTGAGCTTGAAAATAGATTCACATATATGCTGAACCAGCGATTCCACTCTTGGGTATTACTTGCCTAAGGGAAATTATAACACTTATGTACCAAGACAAATGTTCACTAAAGGTTTTGATAGAACTGTTCACAGTACCACGAACAAAGAAACCAAATGCACATTGACAAGACAGCAGAGTGTATCTTCAAAGTACTGTCACACTAAAATTGTATAGTTAATGAGATTGTCTTTAACCTTATAAAGAGTCTTAATATAACTCTTAATAATAAGAATAACGTAATTAGCCAAGCCGGTGTGGCTCAGTGGATTGAGCAGTTATCCCAGGGACTGAGAGATTCCCAGCCAGGGCACATGCCCGGGTTGCAGGCTTGATCCCCAATAGGGGGCGCTCAGGAGGCAGCTGATCAATGTTTCTCTTTCACATGGATGTTTCTCTCTCCCTCTAAAAAATCAATAAAAACATATTTTTTTAAAAAAGCAATGTAATTAGAACTTCACTGAGATATCATTTCTCACCTATTAAATAACCCATAGTCTAAAAGTTTAACAACATTCGGCAAAGGAGGCTATAAAGAACCAGATATTCTCACATATTACAGGTGGGGATGCCTCACATGAAAGGCCCAAGTGGGTAATCTAGCAATACCCACTAAAACTATAACCA